AGGGGTCGTATCGCATTGTCGCGTTGTCGTTTCGCATTGTCGAGTGTCGTGGTATGCACTTCTACCAACCTCGACACTCGACAATGCGAAGTGACAATGCGACAACGCGAAGTGACATCGCGACAACGCGAAGTGACATCGCGACAACGCGAAGCGACGCTCGACAATGCGAAGCGACACTCGACAACGCGAAGCGAAATTTCTTAAATGTCGCCCTTTTTTACCGCGACATTTCTTGGCGACAGTGCGACATATCGTTTGACACTGTCGAGCGTCGCTTCGCATTGTCGCATATCGCTTCGCGTTGTCGAGCGTCGCTTCGCATTGTCGCGATGTCACTTCGCATTGTCGTGTGTCTACCCTTAGACGCGACGGACGACATTCTAAATGGCACGATAAGGACACCGTAGATTTTCTTTTCTTTTTTTCATGCATTAATAGGACTAGTTTTTGTAGAATTCTTTTTTCATTTTCGGAATTTGATACAACGTGTTTTACATTAAGGGTTGTGGTAATATGTATATTCTCTACCATGTTGTACAATGTTAAAAATTATGGAATATGCTACTATTTTGTATTTCATAACTTGTGGCACAATCAGATGTACATGTATCTTTCTGTTATTGTATTGTGTATTTGGGCCGATGGCCTAGAATTACATTGCAATAAACTTGATAAGCTTGATAGTGTTAAACAACAGGTTTATCGTGAACAAAATATATCGAACTTATTAAGGGTTACAAACCCTAATTTAGAATAATATGGTTTTCTTCAGGCAGGCACTTCATAACTTCCCCGTGGTCGAGTGGTTTACACGCTCGCTTAGAACATGTGACGATATCAACAATGCATGTATACATATATTAAACGTATTAAAACAGGTAGTTAGATATGCTAAACTTATATAAATCAGCACTGAAAATAAATCGTTATTCATGTTCTAAATTTAAAAAAGGAAGTTTCCCAGTATGGATTTCCTAGTGAAAGTGAGTGGATATATAAAGAGAATCTTCTGGACAAAGAGATCATACCTCTCTCAGCTGTTAAAAAGTTAACAATTATTTATTGAACGAGTTATTGTGAATCAATTCATAAAAAAATGAATCAACAAAACATCGTGTACTGCTCTAAAGTGAGCGAACATGATGAAGCATTTGGTGAGGATGTTGAAGCATCTGGTGATAATGTTGAAGAATGTGTTGGTGACATTGAAGAATATGGTGGTGATGTTGGGGAAGTTATTGATGAGGTATTGGAACGTCGTAGACAGTCTCATCGTCGTATTTCTATACAACTTCAACACATAGGTGACACGCTTGTGAAGGATTACGAAGAAAGGAAGGCGGCTAATAAGATGATACCATTCATCAGCGATGCTATTGTAGAAATATTTAAGATGTTGAACAATAGTTCTGTATTGAATCTATACAGAGACTATTTCGTGTGACTTTTATGACTGAAGTTTGCCCCGGATTGATTTCTAAATTATCGAAAACCAAAATCGACAATTAAGTTGCCCAAGGAAAAGAATCAGCGCCACGGACGATTGTGTACAGAATGATTGAAACGGGAGACCAAATATGTAAAAGGGAATAATTTTAGGGAGATCGAATATGATTACATGATGGACATTACGCAAGTTTAGTGGTGTGAGGAGGAGAAAAACATTTTTGATTTGACATAACAATGTTTTGGATGACATAATGCGGCTGTTTTCCTTGTGTACAAAATGGTAAAAAAGAAAACAGTTATGCTAACTTGACACTACCTGGAAAAGAATGCGAGTTGCAAGAAGACAATTGAATTGCTATGATAATTGAGAGAACCATGACTGACGAAAGAGAGAAAAGATATGTGAGAGGAAATGATTTACTAGTATGTGTTATGGCAAACTTTGGTGACATTATTTTATTGTAACGCCAGAGTAAACATTTTAATACAATATTGTACAAAACCTGAACTGATCAGAACAGTGTGTTTTATATAACGGTAATTATTTTGACAATACAATAGCTATATTTATATTTTGGAATATTTTTTGAATAGTTTTGATGTGTGTATGTGATTTGATTTTATATTCATATTGTAAATAAATAAAACAAAGATAATAGACTTCGTATATTTATCATTGTCAAATTTTTATACCTTGATAACACAGTACTTATTTATGTACATTTAACATGGTATGTACATTTATCATCATATTTCCCCTAACTACAAGTCGCCTAACCTAATAACATTATTTAAGAATTGATTGTATAACACAGCTGTTCAAACCGTGGCCAGTTGATTGGTAAAATAGTACATTGAGAAACAGTGTCTAATAATAAAAATGATAAAAGCAAAAATGTTTGTAAGATCTTAAGCATCGAAGAAAGACATTGATCAGCTAGCGGTAACTATTTCAAGTTCACGATAACGGTCAGATTGGTCTGATAGGGTCAGCGCTTGTCTTGATTAAACTTGTCCTGATAACTGTTAGCATGTCCTTATAACTGTCAGCTTGTCCTAAAACCTGCTTATCAATACCTCCATTCTACCAAATAAACAAAAGAGGAATAAAAAAAGGACAATGAATCGAATTTACCAGTCCAGTTATTGAGTAAAGATGGCTTTCAGATTCAAAGTGAATGTGACCTTGGCCATTTGATTTAAAGATACTTACATAATAAGGTCCGTTCAATCTATAAAGTTAAGATAGTAAATCAAATGCTCGGCAATTAGATTAGACACCCACATATACTTTTTAAACCGCTCTTTTCTTCAAGGTATAAATGTTTATATAAACAAGGAAATGTTTAAGGTCTTGTCATTTAAACCATATGACAATTGATTTCGTGATTGATTTATCTATATTAACTGCGAATATTGAATGTGTTTTGTGGGGATTTTGTTTTGTGTTTTTGTTTTTTTTTTCTAATGTTTGTTTTGTAATTGAGGTTGTTGAGACGTAAATGTTAACAATCATAAGATATATTCTATATTAATATGTTTAAACAAGATTATATCAGATATTTTTATAATCTATGTCTCAATTGCCTACAATATACAGATACGTAATTTGACCATGTTTAGTTTAATAAATGCGATAAAGACTTCAGTAAGGAGATACGTCTATGTCATAATTAAAGTCCCAATTAATGAAAATTTTGCAATTGAAATTCCGCTAATTTACCAAAGGGAAAGATTTTATACTCATGATTTCTCTATGTAACATCTACTTTGCAAATTAATTCCTAGTCTTTATTCCTTTAATTTATATAATTATGACCCCACTGGACAGATTTGTATACTACTCCTTCCCCGCTCCTCCGGCCAGAACGCTGCCACACACAGACACTTGAGGTGTCGAGCTCCAAACACGTTTAAATCCAAATAAAATGATATTTGTCAAGCAATCCCAGCATATACACTTATATATCATTAAAACTTACTATACGTTGTTTCGAAAAATAAACATATTCCTACGTCTATAATATACGTATCATATTACCGTATTTTACATGGCATTAAACATGGCTTTTGGGATACCTTGCTCCGCACGCGCGCAAAACAACAACAACAGCAACAAAACAACAAACAAACAATAATGCACGAAAGGAAGTTATCTCCATGTGAAGGGTAGCCTAAATAATGACACAACATGACAAGGCAAAAATTTAAGATAAAATTTTGATAAAAGGTTAATGGGTTAATGATCAACTGCTGATAAAAAAGAGAAAGAGAAGACTCCATATTTGAAATCGAAAATTTAACGGGAAAAGTTTATGAACATGTTACCCTAAATTTAATTCAAAATTGTAATCATTGTGACATTTGTAATTTGATCTTGAGAACTAATGTTTTGATTTGGGGCTCTAGTTTTGTTGTTGTTGCTTTTGTTGCTGTTGTTATTTTTGATGTTCATACTTTTGTCTTGAAAAGGGATTCCTCGATCGGTAGTTTTTATTTGTTTAGGTCGTCATGATTGTTTTGTGTTTTCTCAATATTTGCTTTAAATAAAACCAAACACTTCATTTGAATAATTCAGGACAGATCAAAAAGATTTAATGAAATATTTACAAACACCGTTAATCGCCTTGTTAATGAAAAAGAGCATGTTGCTTTCTTATAGCTTTGTCTGCTAATGTTGAAGTTGAATCCACAAAAGACCCGCGGCCGGAAAAAACACATTAACAATTATAAATTGTAATAACTTCTAAAATTTCCCCATAGTGATAAAGAAATTTATCTTTATTTGTTTAACCCCTTTTTTGATTATACGTAACAAGCTTTGTTTTTTATTTCCACCTGACAATAATACTCTTACTTATTATTCGGTGAGTCTTTGCTTTGAATTAACTTCTAAGGGTGTCAGGTAGTACAGGTAGCTCATGGTAGATCTGAATGCTTCTCCCGTTAGTCCAGGAAGTTTGAAGCACGATTTAGTCATGAACCAATTTCTCGTGGATATAAACTAACGGAATTTGTTCCGGTTTATATAATTTTTTCCGGTTTACATAATTTGTTCCGGTTTATATTAATACATATCTGTTTTCGACAAAAAGTCTGAGTTCAAGTTTAAATTGACTAGTTGCCAGCAATTATAATTTGTAATACGACACTCTACGAGTACTTGTAGCATATCAGAAGTTGTTGTTTTACAATCTAAATAAAATCTGTACAATATAAACACTTGAGCAAAATCGTGCTAATGCGATAAAACCAAACTATTGATCAACATTAAAGCTTTTTTAATACTTTCCCTAATAAATTTATTAAAGAAGCGTCATACTTTGACTAAAGAACTATCCAATATCAATTTCAAAAAATTGTCAAATTGTACTTGACTGGCCAACACTATAAAGTTTGGTACTACCATAGGTTGTGCTTAACCCTTAGCCCTTAACCCTTAGCCAAATGAGAATGACCACACTAGTATTTGCTAACAACTTGGTATTAGGCAAGCCAATGAGTATTTTAGCTTTTTGTCAGGCAGTAATCTTTTTGACATTCATAATGCTTCGTTTAATTTCGAGAAAAAATGATAAAATTGGAAGTAATTTAACATGTCGACATTTTCAGCAGATGGTAATTTATCCAGCAGGCAATGAGGAGTACAAGTCTGTACAGGTCATTTATACATGTATAGACAAATTATCAATATTGTAAATTTCTGGTATCAACTTGTTAAAAACAGCGGCGTTTGAAAATTGTATGAACTAGGAATAAAAGAACATATCTATCACTATAAGTGCGCATATTTTCCTAATAACATCGGTATTTTCACAACTAAATTCCGGCCACACAAAAGCAAAACATTAAGCACAGATCTATAAAACACTCTTTTTGTGGTTAATTTCTGAAAAGTACAAACATTACAACGTATATTATGGCAAAGCTCCAATTTTAACAGCATTTATATAAAGATATATGATACGTATAGTTGTCAACATGTTAATAAAGTATATGAATATTAGATTGTATTCAAAAGTTGAACTGCATATAGGTTAAGCAGTGCTGTTTGTTATTACGTCCCTTGAGAGACATGTCTACAAAAAACTGCAGACTCGGTTCATTGGAGATTATGAAAGATGTAACATATATCACATTCCCTCTATGGCATCTTTGGCACCGACTTAAGTGATCAACACAAATTACTAAAAAAACTAGTAGAACCAATGATCCCGAAGGACCAGAAAAAATAACAACAATGAAGTACGGACGAGCCATAGTGTTCGTTTTAATGATAGTGATAAAAACGACCACTATCAATATGTAATACATTTATAATGTTACCATTTTAATCAAAGTTTAATCAATATAAGAAATATTCAACGTTGTTTACAGGAATATAATTTGACATCGTTTTTTTTAAAGTTGTTGATTTGTTAACAATTGTAATGGTTCAGGTTAAAGTTTATTCTCTAAAGTTAATCAAAGAAAAGCCATTCAATTTTGTAAATGACTTGCCTTAAGACATATCTCTCCAAAAATGTAACACAAGCATTAGTCACACGCTTTGATAGGAACGTTACTTTGTGCTTTGTTTTCTTATGTCATAGTTTCTTCTGATGAGAACCTTGTCTTGTATCAAATCGCCTTTGTCTTGTTTTGTATCAGAAAGTCCTTGCTTTGTATCAGGTAGTATTTGCCTTGTTCTATATATCAGCTAGATATTGTCTTGTATCTGATAGTCTTTGTCTTGTTTTGTAGTAAATAGTCCTTGCTTTTCATTGCATCGGACAATCCTTGCCTTGTCTTGCTTCAGAAAGTTCTTGACTAGTTTTCTTTCAGATGCACATTCAATACCATCTGCCTTGGTTAGGATGCATATCCTTTCGAAGGATTGAGTTTTATCGTCTTCTTTATACCGGTCAGTCTGAAGAAAGTAAAATGCTACCTTTAAAATCGAGTTTTACAAGGTATTGAATTGTCAACCAGGAAATAATATGATAGCCTAACATTAAGATATGCATTAAAGAATAATTTTTGTAGCAGCTTTTAGTAATAATAGCTTTGCTACAAACAATGTTAAGTATTTATGATATAAAATGACAAAACTTATTTTTAGGTGATTGATATTGTATATCAGTAATAAACTTGACAGTCAAATTGAAACACTTAATACACCGACCTAATTTGATATGAATATCTCAAACTTTATCGACTGTAAAGAAAAATAATGAATATCCTGCATAGAAATGGCAAATGGCAATTTAGTCAGGTATCGAATGATTAGAATTTACTGAAAAGAATAGTTAAATACCTTGATTTCAAACGAAACATTCCCTATATTTATGCAGTAGTAACATTCCGTTCAATATACAGAGGAAGATCTGACGTGCAGGCGTTTTAAACTTCAAGTCTGTTGTCACCACCGCTGTCCACTTAGATTCATGCTGTTTTTGCACGTTGTCGCCGATAAAACGCAGTCGAGCGGCCACTTCCCTCTCGACATTACTCATGTCATGTAGGGTGTCCTTTTGATAAATTAATCCATCCATGTCTTTTCTGAAGCGATCCACGTTTATCAATTTCATTTAGCTATTATAATATAAGTTTTGTACTGAAAGAACTGGAGTTTATAGATCTCATTAAACAAATTGTATGACTTCTTCAAAGGGTTTGATTTTAAGTCTGAAGCAGATACTCCATTTCAAACGATTTTTATAAAACAGGTTTATCTCAAGGATAAAAATAGATAAACGCCACGGTTTTTTCCGAACTGATAATAATTGTCTATATTTACATTTTCATTAATAGAATAAATTACTTCACACTGCACGCGCTTGCTCATTGTACAAGACATTTACGCATGTATTAGATTTTAGTTTTTGTTTGTGACACTTATTTTGAGATTAATTGATCGAACGTTATCATATTTAGGGCAAGTTTTATTTGTATGTTAAATGATCTAATTATAGCAGAATCTAGTTATTCAAAGGACTGATAATCAAACCATGTCAACATGGTATGACCGCTTTTTGACACTCTACTTGCTGTACAAAAACATCAAAACATTTGAGAACATCTCTATGAGCGACAATAATACATTCAGAACTGTCAAAACAATATTGTCTTTTTGCTAGGTTAGAATACGGACATAATAAACAACTTTTTGTGGTACAAAATTAGAAATTTAATATAAATTCGGATATATTGGTCATTAGTGTTTGAATATTTTGTCACATGTGATTCTTTATCAATTAGGTCAATGATATCCAAAATTTATGTACTACAAGAAAATCCTAATGGTTTTTCTGTTCTAAAATAAAACTAGCACGTCATTAAGCTTCAATAAACGTTTATGCAAATGTTAGTTAGCAACAATCTCTAATTTTAGATTATCAGATTATGCATTACAACAATCTTCTTTGAAATTTACGTTAATCTATATTAATATGTTCCTGTAGTGCATTCTATAAGGGTCGTTCTTTGTTTTGGAATCATGTGCATTAAATATTGATTGGAGCTTTTGTTTTCATTATTGCGTTGAACATGTAAAAGATATTAATCAACTAGGAAGTTTCCTTATTAGATCCTTGTCACCTGATATTCTATTATACGTATTAATGTCTATTATGTCATGATCCAATAAATAAGCTATTACATGTAACATACAAAATTCCCCTTCAACTGCAGATCAATTCTTGGACTTTTATTATAATGCGTTTAAAATTTCGCGTTTAAATTTCTTCATAATCTATTTATAGCATATGTACACAGAAACTGGTGCGTTAATTTGTTGCTGATATTTCACATCTCAGTCTTACGTAATTAATGTTTAGCAGGCGATTTCAATGTCAATGTTGCCTGCTTGTTTTCAGTTTATATCGCCAATTTTTGTATGTTTAGTTTTGTGCAAATTTTCTCCTATAAATTGTTACTAGGTAACTAAAGAACATGTCATAGTGATTTCATCTTTGGTTAGGTAGTTTTGCAAAATGTCCAAAACGTACTCGTTACAGAGTCATCTTTATCTTAAATTGAATATTGAATCATCACATGGAGACGGTTTGTTATGACTAACGTTATTCTCCTAACCTTGAATAAGCTTTTGTTTTTATATTCTTCTTAGTCATCTTACTGGCAGAATTCCATCACTGTACTGATTAAGATTTCAAAACAAAAACAAATACTAGTATAACAACTACTACGAAGTTTAAAAAGTGTTGAACATGTGACAATATCAACAATGCATGTATACATATATTAAACGTATTAAAACAGGTAGTTTATATAAATCAGCACTGAAAATAAACCGTTATGCATGTTCTAAATATAAAAAAGGAAGTTTACCAAATTGGATTTCCCAGTGAAAGTAAGTGGATATATAAAGAGAATCTTCTGAACAAAGAGATCATACCTTTCTCAGCTGTTAAAAAGTTAACAATTATTTATTGAAAGAGTTATTGTGAAACAATTCATACAAAAATGAATCAACAAAACATTGTGTACTGCTCTAAAGTGAGCGAAACTGATGAAGCATTTGGTGAGGATGTTGAAGCATCTGGTGATAATGTTGAAGAATGTGTTGGTGACATTGAAGAATATGCTGGTGATGTTGGGGAAGTTATTGATGAGGTATCGGAACGTCGTAGACAGTCTCATCGTCGTATTTCTATACAACTTCAACACATAGGTGACACGCTTGTGAAGGATTACGAAGAAAGGAAGGCGGCTAAAAAGATGATACCATTCATCAGCGATGCCATTGTAGAAATATTTAATATGTTGAACAATAGTTCTGTAATGAATCTATACAGAGAATATATTTCTTGTGATTTTTATGACTGAAGTTTGCCGCAGATTGAGTTATAAATTATCGAAAGCCAAAATCGACAATTAAGCTGCCCAAGGGAAAGAATCAGCGCCACGGACGATTGTGTACAGAATGATTGGAACGGGAGACTAAATATGTAAAAGGGAATAATTTTAGGGAGATCGAATATGATTACCTGATGGACAATACGCAAATTTTGGGGAGGAGAAAAACACCTTTTTGATTTGAAATCATTTCTAAGATCTTTACCAGCATAATAAGCGTTACAGTGTTCTGGATGACATTATGTTGCTGTTTTCCTTGTGTACAAAATGGTAAAAAAGAAAACATTTATGCTAATTTGACACTAACTGGAAAAAGATGCGAGATGCAAGAAAACAATTGAATTAATATGATAACTGAGAGGAATTTGACTGACGAAAGAGAGAAAAAGATATGTGAGAGGAAATGATTTACTAGTATGTGTTATGGCAAACTTTGGTGACATTATTTTATTGTAACGCAAGAGTAAACATTTTAATACAATATTGTACGAAACCTGAACTGATCAGAACAGTGTGTTTTATATAACGGTAATTATTTTGACAATACAATAACTATATTTAACATTTTAGAATATTTAATGAATAGTTTTGATGTGTGTATGTGATTTGATTTAATATTCATTTGTAAATAAATAAAACAAAGATAATAGACTTCGTATATTTATCATTGTCAAATTTTTATACCTTGATAGCACAGTACTTATGTATGTACATTTAACATGGTGCGTGTTTCATCATATTTCCCCTAACTTCAAGTCGCCTTACCTAATACCACTATAATAGAATTGATTGTATAACACAGCTGTTCAGAACGCGGCCAGTTGATTGGCAAATTACTACATTGAGTAACAGTTTGTCTAATAATATATAATAATAAAATCAAAAATGTTTGTAAGATCATAAGCATCGAAGAAAGACATTGATCAGCTAGCGGTAACTATTTCAAGTTCACGATAACGGTCAGATTGACCTGATAGGGTCGCGCTTGTCTTGATTAAACTTGTCCTGATAAGGGTTAGCGCTTACCCTTATTAAATTTGCCCTGAAAACGGTTAGCATGTTCTTATAACAGTCAGTTTGTCCTAAAACCTGCTTACCAATACCTTCATTCTAGAGGAATAAAAAAGGACAATGAATCGAATTTACCAGTCCAGTTATTGAGTAAAGATGGCTTTCAGATTCAAAGTGAATGTGACCTTGGCCATTTGATCTTAAGAGACTTACATTATAAGGTTCGTTCAATCTATAAAGTTAAGATAGTAAATCAAATGGTCGGTAATTAGATAGACACCCACATATGATTTTTTTAAACCGCTCTTTTCTTCAAGGGGGGTATAATAATGACAATGCAGTTTAACATAATCAATATATAAACAAGGAAATGTTTAAGTTTTTGAAATTGCGTCTTGTCATTTAAACTTAATTAACCATATGACAATTGATTTCGTGATTGATTTATCTATATTAACTGCGTATATTGAATGTGTTTTGTGGGGATTTTGTTTTGTGTTTTTGTTTTTTTTCTAATGTTTGTTTTGTTATTGAGGTTGTTGAGACGTAAATGTTAACAATCATAAGATATATTCTATATTAATATGTTTAAACAAGATTATATCAGATATTTTTATAATCTATGTCTCAATTGCCTACAATATACTGATACGTAATTTGACCATGTTTAGTTTAATAAATGCGATACTAAGACTTCAGTAAGGAGATACGTCTATGTCATAATGAAAGTCCAATTAAATGAAATTATTGCAATTCTGTTATCCAGTCAATTACATAAGTAAATGAGTGCCGCGATAATTCTTCATATCCCTTAATGTTTGTTATTAGCACAAATGTTGTAAATTAATTCCTTTCGATAACACGTTCCCGATGTATTTCAAATTATCAGTAATACGCCTTGATTCTCTTAAGTATTAATACATGTACCCTGCAAAATTATTTCCAATAGATCTTTTTTCCCTATAAAAATGTTTATAATTTGCCCAGATAGCTTATACGAATGTACGCCTTCCCAATACCTCTTCTCCTTACGAACATTAAAAATTAGAACGCAGCCACCCAGCAACACTTTGACGGACGAGCTTCCGAAACACGTTTATTAATATCGAAATAAATTATTTATGTCAATCAATCCCAGCGTATACACTTTATATCATTAAAAATTACTCTACGTTGTTTTTGAAAAATAAACATATTTCTACGTCTATAATATATGTACCATATTACCGATATTATTTTAAATGGAATTAAAAATGGCTTTTTGGGAAACCTTGCTCCGCGCGCCGCGCAAAACAACAACAACAACAAATATTGCACGAAAGGAAGTTATCTCCATGCTAAGGTTACCTAATCAATGACACAACATGACAAGGCAAAAAATTTAAGATAAAATATTGATAAAAGGTTAATGGGTTAATGATCAACTGCTAATGGAAAAAGAGATAGAGAAGGCTCCATATTTGAAATCGAAATTTTTAACGGGAAAAATTTAATGAACATTGTAATTATTGTTAAAATATTTATAATTTTGATCTTGAGAATTTAATGTTTTGATTTTGGGTTCTAGTTTGTATCAGAGTTTGTTGTTGTGTTAGTTGTATATGTGTTGTTGTTTATTGAATGTTACATTTTGATCCTCATGAATATGTACTTCTTCGATCTGGTAGTTTATTTATGACTGGCAGGAATGAAGACTCCGCTTATCCCTATTTTGAGCACCGCGCTATAGTACAAACCAAATATGGGCTTGCGAACCAAGACAACTATGGATCTCCAGAACCACCTGCGCATCGCGCCAGTCTGATCAAGGATCCACTTTCAACTGTATCGACTAATTACAAGCCCTCTTACCCAAGCTAGAGAAAACAGATATGCGTAACACTCAGCAGATCTGCTGATCAGCACCGCGAGCTCTTAGCAGTGGGTTTTTGAACTCCATGCTGGTCGCAAAACCCATTAGTGTGTTTTTGTCTTAGACGCGGCTCATTTTAAAGTTGTCTGTGTGCTAAAAAAATTGCAGATATCTTCTTTTCACAGAAATTATCATAAAATGATGGTGCAAAATGACCTCATTGAAAATAAGCGTTTAAACAGTATGTGAGAAGTTAGCAGTGAACAGTGAGCAAAGCAAAAATGCATTTTTATTTATATAGGGAAGTCAATGATCTGCTGTAATGCTCAGCTGTTTTGGGCATCTAGCAGGGCATTCCTAAATATAGTGTAAAATGCTCTGCTGCAATACTCAGCTGTCTTGGCAATCTAGCAGAGCATTCCTAGCTTTAGTGAAAAAATGCTCTGCTGTGGTACGCTCAGCTAGCTAGGCAATCTAGCAGTGCGTTACTAAATATAGTGTTAAAATGCTCTGCTTGAATGCTTAGCTGGCTAGGCAATCTAGCAGGGCATTACTAAATATAGTAAAAAAAATGCTCTGCTGGAATGCTAAGCTGGCTAGGCAATCTAGCAGGGCATTACTAAATATAGTGTAAAATGCTCTGCTGGAATGCTAAGCTGGCTAGGCAATCTAGCAAGGCATTACTAAATACCGGTAAAGTGTAAAAGTGCTCTGCTGGCTAGGCAATCTAGCAGGGCATTACTAAATATAATGTACAAATGCGATTCTGGAATGCTAAGATGGCTAGGCAATCTAGCAGAGCATTCCTAGTTATAGTGAAAAAATGATCTGCTGGAATGCTAAGCTGGCTAGGCAATCTAGCAGGGTGTTACTAAATATAGGGTAAAAATGCTCTGCTGGAATGCTAGGCTGGGTAGGCAATCTAGCAGGGCATTACTAAATATAGTGTAAAAATGCTCTGGTGGAATGCTAAGCTGGCTAGGCAATCTAAATGTAGTGAAAAAATGCTCTGCTGGAATGCTAAGCTGGCTAAGCAATCTAGCAGGGCATTCCTAAATAAAGTGTAAAAATGCTCTGGTTGAATGCTCAGCTGGCTAGGCAATCTAGCAGTGCATTACTAAATATAGAGTAAAAAATGTTCTGCTGGAAAGCTAAGCTTGCTAGGCAATCTAGCGGGGCATTCCTAAATATAGTGTTAAAATGCTCTGCTGGAATGCTTAGCTGGCTAGGCAATCTAGCAGGGCATTACTAAATATAGTAAAAAAATGCTCTGCTGGAATGCTAAGCAGGCTAGGCAATCTAGCAGTGCATTACTAGATATAGTGTAAAAATGCTCTGCTGGAATGTTAAGCTGGCTAGGTAATCAAGCAGGACATTACAAAATATAGTGTTAAAATGCTCTGCAGGAATGCTCAGCTGGCTAGGCACTATAGCGGGCATTCCTTAATATAGAGAAAAAATGCTCTGGTGGAATGCTCAGCTGGCTAGGCAATCTAGCAGGGCATTACTATATATAGTGTAAAAATGCTCTGGTGGAATGCTAAGCTGGCTAGGCAATCTAGCAGGGCATTACTAAATATAGTGTAAAATGCTCTGCTTGAATGCTAAGCTGGCTAGGCAATCTAGCAGGGCATTCTTAAATATAGTGAAAAAATGCTCTACTGGAATGATAAGCTGGCTAGGCAATCTAGCGGGGCATTACTAAATATAATGAAAAAATATTCTGCTGGAATACTCAGCTGTCTTGGCAATCTAGCAGAGCATTACTAAATATAGTGTAAAAATGCCTTGCTGGAATGCTAAGCTGGCTAGGCAACCTAGCAGAACATTCTGAAAAATAGTGTGAAAATGCTGTGTTGGATAAGCGATCTTGCGGTGCATTCTGAATTATAGTATTGATAAGCTCTGCTGGAATGCTCACCTGGCAGACTGATTCTGAGTTCCAGGATTTATTGTTGTCAACGTTTTATTGACATTTTCGACTTCTAGGCACTTCTGAGGTACTCGCAGACTTTCAGAAATTTTTGGTGCCAATCGAAATAATGATATTTCTGACTTCTAAGGACCTTTAAAGAACTATTTTATTGTCCTGCGACTTTTTGATGGACACTCGCAGACTTTCAGGAATTCTGGTGCCAATACAAAAAAATGTACTGATATTGACAATTAAGACTTCTAGGGACCCTCAAGAGTCCATTATGTTGGTCTGCGACTGATTCTCGGACACTCGCAGACTTTCAGGAATGGTTGGTGCCAATGGAAATAATCATATTTTTGACTTCAAGGGACCTTTAAGAGTCCATTTCATTGGCCTGCAGCGTATTTTTGGACACTCGCAGACTTTCAGTAAGGTTTGGTGCCATTAGAGTTGATGGCAATTTTACTTCTAGGGACCCGCCAGAGTCCATTTTTAAGGTCTGCGACTGATTCCGGGACATTCGCAGACTTTCAGGAATCTGTGGTGCCAATGGAGATAATGACATTTTTTACTTCTAGCGACCCAACATACTTCATTTCGCTGGTCTGCGACTGATTTTGGGACACTCGCAGACTTTCAGGAAAGTTTGGTGCCATTAGAGATGATGGCAATTTTTACTTCTAGGGACCCGCCAGAGTCCATTTTTATGGTCTGCGACTGATTCTGGGACATTCGCAGACTTTCAGGAATCTGTGGTGCCAATGGAGATAATGACATTGTTGACTTCTAGCGACCCACCAGAGTTCATTTCGCTGGTCTGCGACTGATTTTGGGACACTCGCAGACTTTCAGGAATTTTGATGCCAATGGAGATAATGATATTTCTGACTTCTAGGGAACCGCCAGAGTACATTTCTTGGGTCTGCGACTGATTCTTTGAGACTCGCAGACTTTCCGTATGTTTAGTGCCATTGCAGATCATGACATTTTTTACTTTTAAGGACCCTTAGTCATAAGCAGAGCATTTTTACTCTAGAATGTCATTATCTGCATTAGCACCAAAAATTCCTGAAAGTCTGCAAGTGCCCAATAATCAGTCGCAGACCAACGAAATAGACTCTGGATGGTCAAAAAATGTCAACAGTGTAATTATCTCTATTGGCACCAAAAATTCCTGAAAGTCTGTGAGTGCCTTAGAATCAGTCGCAGACCAAAAAAATGGATTCAGGAAGGTCCCACTAAGTCAGAAATATCATTTTCTGCATTGACACCAAAATTCCTGAAAGTCTGCGAGTGACTCAGAATCAGTCGCAGACCAACGAAATAGACTCAGGAGGGTCCTTTTGAAGTAAAAATGTCATTATCTCCATTGGTACCAAAAATTTCTGAAAGTCTGCGAGTGTTCCAGAAACATTCGCAGACCAACGAAATGGACTCTGGATGGTCCTAAAAATTCACAAATGTCATTACCTGTATTAACACCAAAAATTCCTGAAAGTCTGCGATCGTCCCAGAATCAGTAGGAGACCAAAGAAATAGACACTTGAGGGTCCCGTAGAAGTCAAAAATGTCATTATCTGCATTTGCACTTAATATTTCAGAAAATCTACGAGTGCCAAATAATCAGTTGCAGACCAACGAAGTTTATACTAAGCCAGCTGAGCATACCAGCAGAGAATTTTTCGCACTACATTTTGGAACGCTCCGCTAGATTGCTTAGCCACCTGAGCTTACCAGCAGAGCATTTTTACACTATATTTAGGAATGCTCTGCTGGATTGCCTAGCCAGCTGAGCAATTTTACACTATATTTAGGAATGCCCTGCTAGAATTCCTAGCCAGAGGAGCAATTCAGCAGAGCATTTTTACACTATATTTAGGAATGCCCTGCTAGATTGCCTAGCCAGCTGAGCATACCAGTAGATCATGTTTACACTATATTTTGGAATGCCCCACTAGATTGCTTAGCCAGCTGAGCATAACAGCAGAGCATTTTACACTATATTTTGGAATGCCCCGCTAGATTGCCTAGCCAGCTGAGTATAACAGCAGATCATTTTTACACTATATTTTGGAATGCCCTGCTAGATTACTTAGCCAGCTAAGCATAACAGCAGAGCATTTTTACACTATATTTAGGAATGCCCTGCTAGATTGCCTAGCCAGCTGAGCATACCAGCAGATCATTTTGTACACTATATGTTGGAATGCCCCGCTTGATTGCTCAGCCAGCTGACCATACCAGGAGAGCATTTTTTGCACTATATTTTGGAATGCCCTGCTAGATTGCTTTGCCAGCTGAGCATACCAGCAGAGAATTTTTACGCTATATTTAGGAATGGCCTGCTAGATTGCTTAGCCAGCTGAGCATAACAGCAAAGCATTTCTACACTTTATTTTGGAATGCTCTGCTAGATTGCTTACCCAGCTGAGCATAACAGCAGATCATTGATTTCCCTATATAAATCGTAATGCCTTTTTGCTTAGCTCACTGTTAACTGCTACCTTCTCACATACGTTTAAACACGTAATACCAATTTTCAGTTTATTTCTGAGTATATTTTATAAATATAATCTTATTCATTATTTTTCAATATAAAGTACTCCAGTGTAACTATGTAAGAATTTTATGTTGTATGCCTTTTGACCTCAGTGAAGATTCCTGAACATCTCTCACAATTTATCCATAGTGCTTCATGAATAAGTTTATTGAAGAACAAAAATTAGTCACTCCGTTCTTATATACGGAAATGAGATAGACCATAGAAGTAAAACTTCCGTGTTATGTTATATTCTATTTTTAGAATATTATGAATATGCGCCACAACCTTCTCCAATTACGGTCTTTTTGCAAAGTCATTACTGAAATATAAGTGCGTTGAAATGCCTTGATTTAGAAACGAAACATAACTAGGCCAAGGCCATGGTTTTTTTTTTAGATTTTTTTAGGAAACCTTGATAATTGATATACACGACGTAGTACAGTTGCGCCACACCGTATTACCGGTGCCAGTGGTAACAGATTGCTGCAGTGATAACAGAAATCTAAAATTTACTGATTATTGCTGGTAGATTATAAACTTTGTCGGTATATTTGTATAATGCAAATAAGGTCATTTTCTTTGCTATATACCTACTTTTTATTGACTGGAAATACTATTATGTAATTTCCCCCTTTCATGAAATATTTTGAGCGGTTTAAAAATGACAGCTTCAGAAAAATCCGTGAAAATTGTTATATTTTTTGTTCAAAAATATCTCAATTTTGAATTAAATAAAGATATTTCACATAAACAATCATTACTTTTGGCCGCGTATGCATAATATATTCCCAGTGTGTCTTTTCTAAAATGCTATCGTTGACAGAAACGCTTGTGGCTGACATTCTGACAGAAAATTAAGATCACTCTTCTACTGCACCTTTTCATATCCACAATTAAGACTTCATCCTATCATTTGTAGTATTTTTTTACGACAGAAAAACTATTTATAGGATAGGTGATTCAAAAAAACTTTTGACACAAAACAAGATACACAACGACCAAATTGAGCTATACATATAAATTTGAGAACATTTACTTTCATTTGTATGTATGTAAGTTAGCCTTATTTGTTATCATATTCACTGTTGAGATTATAGACATAGGTTTTTTTTTTAAATATTTTCATGTAATATAAAATCTCATTGAATTGATGGACCATGTGTCATTAAAAAGTGTTTTTTCGACGCACACCTATCGCATTGATACTTTTTTTCATTTTTTTTCAGTCTAATTTACGATTAGAAAGTAAACATGTAAACAATTGTAAGTAAATGCTCAATGGTTACTTTGTCGTATTTTCGTGTTTTCGTATGGCGCCCTGCGGAGCGAACATACGACATGGCACAAACCAGTCACCATTAATATAGTTTTCAAACGTCCACCCAAATTGATTTCACTTCTTTCATCCCCTCGGAGCGTGCACGTCGCGGGAAGGCACAAGGCATCGGAAGAAGAAATGACAGCTTGGCTGATTCATCAACGAGGACACACTGACAGGTTAAAATCACAGCGACTGTTGTGTTACATATAGGGCAGGTCTTGAGACCAAACTACCCTTGGCCCATAGGGGCGTTAAGCTTCTATCGTCGTCAGCAACTCAGCTGCCGATATCCTGACAAATGCCGAGGGGAGCAGCCCCTAACAAAGTAGGCACTGACGACGAGGAAAGTGTAATAGGGTGCATGAGCCCCTAGAACAGAGAATGACGGCTTGAATGGCATGTCTTTAGCTGGCATGACAGACCTTTTCGAGTAACCTCTTTATCGTATTGTATCAGGTTACTGTATTTTTAAGTTATTGTAAGCTGTAATACATGGATTTACTTTCGGCTTTGAAAATTGCACCATTTTGTGCTTTAAAATTAAGTCTTAAAGTGCATGACTGGTGACTGGTGACTGAATTAGCAACTATTAACTATGGATTCTTTACAAAGTATAAATACATTGTAGATTTTCATCTTAGTTTGTTTGTTTTTTGCTGTTGTTTTTTTGTAAATTCATCGTTTGATACATTTTTTTAATAGAACGATTAGCTCCTGTTGGCCCTGAAACAACCTTTTGATAATATGTCAATTTTGCTTATTCCAATAATGTTCTAGAAAAAACCCATATGAAATAGGCAACAGAATTATAATAATTGACCATAATTTCAGAATCTGCTGTTTGAACTTTATGCGTGTGTGAATGTGATGTTTAACTGACATTTGAAACATGCTTTGACCAAAATTACATACAGTATATAAAGGAAAAGTGGGGAGAAGTATTTCACCAAATTGTTTAACAATGGATAAGGTGCACGTGCTGTCATTGTGTATATTTCTCGTGTATATGACTGGAGCATCCGGTAAGTCTTTTAGTTCTTCGTCTGCTTAATTTGAGTAATGGATTTGCCAAGATTTTTATCTTATGAGAGTCCATTTGAAGTGTAATGAATTTTAATATCATATTATTAAAATTGAGATACCAACTGCAAAGGGCCAGAAATGTAGCCTGACCTGGCTCGATACTTGCGACAAAGGTAAGTTACTTCCGGCTCCATCAGGTTTGGAAACATTTTAGTTGATGTTAAATATAAAACACTACCTAACAATTTCTAGCGATTTTTTTCGGGACATTTATTCATGAATATTTGAGTGTGAACATATTAAAAAGCGACGCAACACGCATGCAGACTTATTCTTGCATGTTTATATAAACTTAAAATTCGTTAAAAATATAATACATCCGACGGCGGAAGTTTCTTTGTTCAATGTGTTTTTAATAATAAAAAAGCTACATAGTTTTAATTATACATGTTTATGCAGATAATTCTAAAGAACACGTGTTTTCTGTATAGGTACGGATTTGTGCAGCTCATACCCGTGTCTCAACAGCGGCACGTGTACAGAAGACAACAATGGTTATGTATGCGAGTGTCGGAACGGGTATTCAGGCGAACATTGTGAAGGTACTAAATGTTTTTATTCATGTACATGTACATTACGCTTATCGTATAATCTAAAAAAAGCTAAAGAATATTTTAGAAGAACTTTATGCATGTCAAAAGAAAATTTTGACTTGGTAACGAGTAAGTGAAACGCACATCAATTTAAACTCTTGCGCCAGCGTGGTTTGGTGGTAATTTCTTGCGCCAGCGTAGTTTAGTGGCAATTTCTTGCGCCAGTGTAGTTTGGTGGTAATTTCTTGCGCCAGTGTAGTTTGGTGGTAATTTCTTGCGCCAGCGTAGTTTGGTGGTAATTTCTTGCGCCAGCGTAGTTTGGTGGTAATTTCTTGCGCCAGCGTAGTTTGGTGGTATTGTAACACTTTCATAACGCCAATCGGAACTCTTCCACGATTATTTACAATAATCACGGACTTAATGCGGATTGAAAGTAGTTCAACCACGTGATTTTAGATGTAAAGTCAATTTGAGTAAACCTTTGTTTGAAAAAATATAGCTGAAAATCATTATCAATATAGAAACGCACACTGATGTAGAATTATAACCAAGTCCGACTTTATGTCAACAGGTTGGCATTTTGGTCTTTCGGGTTTTATAACCATAATAACAAGTATACACGTAATGGACTGTTTACTTTTAAATTTATAAGTTAACATGATTTAGGCGCACTTATTTAACTTACGTATATAAATATCATGTAATACTTTTTTTTTGTAATCCTGCATATAATAAGTTTCTATGTATTTTCACGCTCTTCATCTCTGGAGGAAAAAAGTATCTATCTACTTCCGGGTTGATATCGGTTACGATAAAACTCGTATGAGATCCTCAAAGTACACAAGGCTTTTTAATTCATTCATGTTAAATAACATATCCCGGAAACTCAATGCTAATGGCATAATTGGCATGATAATTATCATAATAACCTATAATTAGAATAGTACATTTTTAATTACATTCTGACACTGAGTGTGAAAATAAGTTATATTATGTTAATTACTTTTGCAATTCATGTGTTGGCTGGACTGTACTGTTTAACCTGAACTATTTTAGTCAGTATCCCTACGCCTGTGATTCATCAGTCTGCAACCGTAAATCGGAGGAAAATTACCTCGTTTTTGTATTTTCTGATCGCAGATCAGGAAATACAATGCTGACATTTGATCTCTGACACAGAATTTCACGACAATCCTAACAACAAGTAGTTCTAAAAACAGCTTAAAGCTAGCGATATTAAAGAAAGAAATACTTTTATTTTGTTACAACTATGCAACAAATTACAACGCTTTCAAAGTTAAAAAGTAGCGTTGGCTTATAGAATTGTCAATAAATGCACTATCACAAATTACGCGGATGAATATCATTTTAATCAATGAAAATGCTATCTTTAGGGATGTCGATAACGGAATACTTCAGAGCGTAGTACACAAATAAATCTGACTGTCGAGTAGTGGAATATATACATTTTAAGTGTCTTTTTTTAGGTAGAAAGCCACGCAAGGATAAATTATGGCTGTCATAAAAAAATGACCATAAATGATTTTTTGATGCAATTTTAGTTATTCAAAATTCCGTATGTATCAAACTCAAACTGTTATAGTAAAAAATCAAAACGCAGTCGCTGCATCTCGGTGTCCTGTAAGATGAATTAAAATATATAAAATAAACAGATATACAGTACGATTTAGTTTGCAAAGATCAGAAAATACCACAGAGCTTGCAGCCCTTTGATTTTAAATCTTCAACGGTTTTGAAATTCATTTACGCAGTTAAATTAAATCAACGACATAAATACACGCAGGTAAAAAGGTCAAAAACTGCTTGTAAAGCAGTGAAAAATGTCAAATTACTGCAATCATTTTTATCATGAGTTGACAATTTGATTAACATTTCATTACAGGCTAACCTTTACAAGTACTTAGTGGCGACATATAGGATCACTTATCCGTCGTCTGTCTGCCTGTCTGTCACAAAACTTGTCTGGATTACTTCTCAGATACTACTGGTGCAATTTCTTCCAAACTTTACAGGAATAATCAGTACCAAGTCTAGTTGTAAATGTCGTCGGCATTTTCCGGTTCAGTGATTTTTGTCAGAGTAATGTCCCTTCAATGATTTTATTGGACTACTACTGCCACTGAAGCAATTTCAATGAAACTTAACAGGATTGATCTGTAGCTCAAGTGCTTGCGCATATTACACGGGTTTCCATTTAAAAGATTTTTGGCAGAGTTATGGCCCCTCATTAAAAAAGTGTTGTTTTTTTTGTGTTGACAACTACTTGTTTTGACTTCCCTTCAGAAACTAGTGCATTTTCATCAAAACTTTACAGGAATAATCAATACTATGTCTAGTTGTGTATCTCATCAAATGTTTTCGATTTTATGATTATTGTCAGAGTAATGTCCCTTTAACGATTTAAATTTTTAAAATTTATCCGGACTACCTTTCTTATACTACTGAATCAATACAGGATAGATTGGTAGCTCAACTACACTAGCTCAACTACTTGCACATATTACACGTGTTTACCGGTTGAAGCATTTTCAGCCGAGTTATGGGCCTTGAATAAAAATGTATTTTGTCCTGTTAATGATGCTTGGGTCTCCTGCTACAAAGTAGAGCTCTGCAACATGCAATTGACTATCATAAGGCGACACATTTCATCACCAATGACCCTTGTCTTGTAAACACATGTTCTAGCGCAACTAACTACAACGATTTTCCGTCCTATATTATATAGTTTATTGTCCTATCTACATTTTTTTCCTTATTCAAGATGGTGGCATTATTGAAGTTGAGGAGGGCTCTTCTAACGAACGGGCTCAGTTCGAAACGAATCAGCCAAAACTGTACAATCAGTGCTTACGTCCTCTGAACAACTTGAAGTTTTCAGTAAGGACCGAAAGGGACGCTCACATTCTACTGCAGACGACAACAGATGTCTTCGAAACGTCAGATGATAATTACGTCATATATATCGCCGGATGGGGAGGCAGCCGAACTGAAATTTATCACAGCGGGAGATCGGAAAGGGTTGATATCGAAGGTTTATTAAGCGATTATGAATTCAGGTAATGAATTATATATCTTAATCCTGCTGCAGTAATCAGAGGGATCGAAATGGCGTCATGTACGCTTCCTAGGGCTTATATGTAGACTCCCTCTTATATTTCTATATCAAATCACATTTCGTTTAGCAAAATGCATGCAAAATCGGCAACCTTTCTATCTGTGACCCTCTCTGAAAAATTATTTAAATTTGAAATATGCATTAGCTCTTGACGGACTTTTACAAACACCTCTGGTGAAAACATCCCACTCGCCTGTTTAACCCTTAACATGCTGAATATTTTAAATCAACTTGTCCCACTTCCATTTTTGAAACTGTTCATTATCAATTTTAGGGATATCAATTTGAATATTTAAAGTTTGTCAGCCAACAGTATAGAGCCTGGTCAGACTGCACGGATGTGCAGGCTGGCCTGGCTCTATACTGTTGGCAAAGGCTTAACGCTTTCGGTTAGAGCACTTTCAGGGTTAAAACAAGTAAATGAATGGTATCAAGACATTCTAGATATGTCTACTGTAAAAAGGGATTTTATTTTGCTTTATGTTCATCTTCGGTCGAGACTGAATGATTGATACATTAAACAATTTTTCATCCATTTTAATTCTTGTTTGGAATATATGCAGTCCGGAAAAGATTAATATAGCTGGTAAATTATAATATAATATGATATGATATGATATGATATAATATAACAATAATCTTCCATAGATTTAATTTCATATATGATTTGATCATACAATTTTAGCAATAACATTTATTTACGAAAATAACAGATTCTTGATGTTGATCTAATGATTTAAAGTGAATTGGTCTATAATGGCGGGGTTGTAATACATTAAATAGTTACTTCGATAGTATTTTGTATTACACATTACAACAAACTACGAAATAATATTTAAGACTGATTTTAAGAAAATATGAATGCTAGAGGCATTTTATAGTACAAGTAATATCTTGAGTGTTTTAACCTAATATGGGTATACTGAAGACGATGAGGGTGGATACCAAGAAAATAAAATTGACCTTCACCTTCAAAAGGTCAATTTAAAATGGCCGCTTAAAAAAACTAAAATAGGTCATTAAAACTATGATACAATATGATGCAATTAATTATTCTTGTCAAAATCAAATGATTATTCAATATGATCTGATTTAATGAGATTGGCCACCAAATATAACGATTATAAGCCTAATGGCTCAATTAACAGTTATTTACAGTACTGTTTTACTAGCGCGTTAAGGTATAAGACTAAGATTGAAAAAAATCACTTTTTATGTTTTGTTTACTTGACTTATATTTAACAATAAACTCAAATTCAAATCCTTCTTTATAAATATTACCAAAAAATAAATATTTCGTAATAACAAATTTATATTTCGTAATTACGAAATAATACTTCGTAATAACGAATCAATATTTCGTAATTAAGATTTTATATTTCGTTAAAATGAAATAATATTTCTAATTGGGAATTATTATCTCGTAAAAACAAATTTAATTCCGGGAGAAAGTGTGGAAAATGTCACTTCAGGTGTTCCGTAATTTTCAAAATTATTTGTAGCAATCTTTGTAGCAATTTTTTTAAGTTGTTCATTTTGTTTTCATATATTTTGCACTTATTATGGTATTTATGGTTTAAAATTATTATTGAAAGATTATTTTGAAATGTCAAAAATACCATTCCAATGCCATAAACACAACACAAACCAAGACAAAAAGTGTTTTAAAAATATACTGCACCCCTCCCCCAAAAGAAAAAAACAACAAAAAAAACCCAAAAAACAGTAGGTCTTAAAAAAGGCAACAGTAGAAATCGAACCATAGACCTCTCACACATCAGTCAATCACGTAACCGGCTGTGCTACTGCGGATAACGTTTACATTTTTAGCAGATATGACTTTCAATAACGTTAGTTTTATAGTTTTTTATTTTATGCTTTTCAGTGGATTACTGATTTATCCGTGAAAATTATATTTGATAATTTCACAGTGAAAATTATCAAAATATAATTTCACACTTTCCAATGACGAAACTACTTTCTTAAGATTTTCCCCATGTGGTAACTCAATTTTATTTTTGCTACGCCACTCGTGGGACTACTGTTTTTAAAGCCCACTCGATAAAATAAAATTTCATCTTACACACAAACAAACAAATATCTTTATATTCTAACGAAATCGGAGTGGAATGTAATATTTCAATGAGTGCTGTATTGTATTCATAATTGACAGGTAAATAAAATAAGACTATACAAAATAAGCAATTAGGCTGCGTATACAAACAAATAAAATATTGTTGTTCCAACATGCAAAAGCGGGATTAAGTATGCGCAAAATCACCACAAAATCTTTTTAAAGGCGACATGTGACACATTATAAGATTTATCTATAAAATAAAATATTAAGAATTTTCTCCAGAAACTAACTTAAGACATAATAATTACATAATTACACGTATTAAAAAAAATGAAATAATAAGGCAGTACAAAATTTTAAGAATATAAGCTTGTAATATGTTTATCCTTCTTAAAACATTATCAGGGTCAAACATTTTTGTAACCCAAATATCTACGACATTATGGCTCTATCTCAATCTATGAAAGTAGTTTTCTGTCTATATTCTGTACCCCAGGTTTATATATAAAAATGTGTTAATTGAGTGTTGAGCAAACTAGGTAAAAAATATCCAACTTACAAATTTACAATCATACTTTTTAAATGGTTACAAAAACGTTTCTGTCCCATTCTTTTATAAAATGTGTCACTTGCTGAAATGTTGAAATTAAAAAAAGAGCCGTTTTCAGCACATTGTGAACATTACACTTGTATGCTGCATGTAAGTTTTTTGTGTGTTGTTTTGTTTGTATTTGTTGTTTTCCGCCGAAAATAATATCTGCATAATTCATTTTTTAGATTCGATTATAACTACATTAAGGTATAAGATGGATAATCGATAATATTAAAAAGTCGACTTAAACTTAGAAGTGTATACTTTATCACATTCTTAACAAAAATACAGAAAACAACAAATGTTTACCATCTTGTTTAGAAATAAGTGACGATTTAATTTGAAATTTAAAGTTAAAGTTAAAAACAACAACAACAATAACAACACCATATTTTCATCGAGTCATAAAATGTCTAAAGCATGGATATTGCTACGTGTGCTTGCTATACCATGGCAGCTCTCGAAAATTTTGGAATTCAGTCACAGTTTTGAAAAAATTCTACAAGAACATTATCACATCATTCGATATACATTAGAATTCCGGCTACCCTCCAATCAATTTCCAGGATTTCTTAAAGTAATAGCAATGTTATCTATAAAAATATTACTTAAATCGAGTAATATTTTCTTTGACCATATATAAAAGTCACGTGGGTTGGCTACATAGTAGAGGTGTTAAAATATAATTGTAATACACCCTTTGTTAGCCATTGAAATAGTATTTAATGTATAAAGGACTTTCAAAAATGGTTATTATTCAGAGCGGGCGCTATGGTGCAGTGGTAACACTGTCTGTCAACAAATCAAGGGGTCGTGAGTTCGATCCCCCGCTACTCCACTACAAGACTGATAAAACCAGGACATCCACACAGCATGACGGCAACGATAGATACAAGAGAAGACCTTAACGGAACAGGAAACAAGTACCAAAAGTACAAGACCGAAGACGACGACCGATAACAGAAGGAAGAACGGACACAAGAACTGACACCAAGCGAACAGAGACATGGACCGATAACAGATGAACTGACAACAAAACAACGGAGACGAGGATTAATAACAGAAAAATAGAGACTAGTACCGATCACAGAAGCAATGATAACAAGAAAAACGGAGACCAAGACTGATTACAGAAAATACAGACGAGAACCGATGACAGAAGAACTGCCAACAAACGAACAGAAACGTCGACCGATAACAGAAGAACAGGGAGTGACAGGGACCGATAACATAAGAACTGACAACAAGCGAACAGAGACAAGGAACAATAACAGAAGAACAGTGACAGGGACCGATAACAGAAGAACTGCAAACAAACGAACAGAGACAAGGAACAATAACAGAAGAACAGTGACAGGGACCGATAACAGAAGAACTGCCAACAAACGAACAGAGACGAGGACCAATAACAGAAGAACAGTGACAGGGACCGATTACAGAAGAACTGACAACAAGACATCGGAGACAAGAATTAATAACAGAAAAATAGAGACAATGACCGATAACAGAATAACAGACAGGAAGCGATGACAAAAGAATTAACAAGAAAACGGAGACCAAGACTCATTACAGAAAAATAGAGACGAGAACCGATGACAGAAGAACGCAGAAGAATGAAGACGAGAACTGATAATACAAGAACGAAGACGGCGACCGATAACATAAAAGCAGAGAAAGGACCGATAACAGAACATCAGACAACAAAAGAACTGAGACCAGGACCGATTACAGAAGAACGAAGATCACGACCAATAACAGAAGAACAAGAGAACTGCGACGAGAACTTACAGTAGAACGAAAGTCACGACCAATAACGAAGAACTGACAACAGAGAAATGCGACGAGAACCGATAACAGAAGAACGAAGACTACAGCCGATAACAGAAAAACGAACACCAAAACCCAAGAGTACTCAAGAAAGGTGCCTTTAATTAATGTATATTTTGCATGCACACGTTTTAACCCCCTCACATACGCACGCTGTGCAAATATAAGTAGGAATCTGAGTAGCCACTCTATATGCTTGCATAAAGTGAAAGATAAAATACATAAAACTCTATATCTAGCAAAAAAGGCAGGGAAGAGTGTAGTGTTCGCTGCGTAAACCCTAAATATAGCGATGGTTCAAAGGAGTAGGGACTTTCTAGAAATTTGATCTCTTACATTCTAGTCTCTTATGTTTAAATGCCTTATTTGTTATTATCTTATTTATCTAATTTGTTTTTAACATGCTTTGTGTCAAATTTCAGGCTTTTCCTTTCCTTAAAAGTTTTATTTGATATATCATCCATTTCTGATAAAGAAATTTGGCGGCCATTTTAGTAGTCATTTTAAATGGCCATTTCAATGGTCAAGATCAAGTTTTTCAATTTGGTATCCACCTTTATCGGATTCAGCAAACCTTAAATAGGTAAAATACACCAAGATACCACTTGTATATGGAACAGAATTAATGCATTTATTCTATCTTGCTTGATGACATTGGAACTTGCATTATGCTTAATTTCATCTTGCTTGATGACATTGGAACTTGCATTATGCTTGATTCCATCTTGCTTGATGACATTGGAACTTGCATTATGCTTAATTCTATCTTGCTACATGACATTAGAACTTGCATTATGCTTGATTCCATCTTGCTTTATGATATTTAAACTTTGCATTATGCTGGTTTCCATTTTTCGTTATTTCATTCAAACATTTCGTAGTCACCAATTCTTTCATTGAGTGATAACTAATAAACTGGAACAAGCCATTTGGAATACTAAAATGTTAACGTCATATACCTTTATGCATAAGCTACCTTTCTTCATGCTCTATACAAACCATTTACGGTTTAGTTTTTTTGTATTACTTTTATGTATAAGTCAATTAAAATTAACTATTTAATGTTCCCTGATGGATTTTTTAAAATATGACTTATAGCTCGCATGGCGTGATTACTATTAGCTTTCGCTTATATCCATTATGCAGTGTTTATGCTTAATAAAGCTCGGTGTCTGAGGCTTTGTGGATAATGTTTGATCATCTTACATTATGATAAACAATTAAAACTATGTACTGTTAAGGGGCGAGAACTCTGTTATCGATGTCAACGGAATTGTTTCCACGATTCGCCTATCATCGGAATTTTCCGTATAGATACCGCGTACATGTATATATAAATACGTACTAAGCGTTTAATACATACATTGCAGTTGAAAGAATATAAATACAAGTAGTAAAGGATTATGCAATATAATTTTATATATGTATACAGTCTAATAGAAAAAAATATGCTCGTAAAAAGTGATGCAATGGGGCAGTTACACGTACAGTCAGTGGCGGTTTCAGGCCATGGCTTAAGGGCTGCACCTACCCCCAAATATACGTGGAATATATACGTGTCAGTTTCATGCAATAGTCTTCTTAGTGTACTCCCTTACCAAAACATATTATGCTGTCATCAAATTGTCTAGCACCTGCCTAGGTACTGCGAAGGTCGTATCTAATGACTTGGACATTAAAAAGCAAAAATTATTGGCCTTTTAACTTAATAAATGTCTCAGAGTCACTAGTAGTGGCAAATAGGTATGTAACGCATTAAAATATACATGTATAATAAGGAAAGAAGGAAGTTGTTTATTTTTGTAACACGTGCATAGTCAATTACAAATGAGCCGCGTCACGACAAAACCAACAAAATGGGTTTGCGACCAGCATGGATTCAGACCAGCCTGCGCGTCCGCGCAGTCTGATCAGGATCCAGGCTGTTCGCTACCAGTTTCTCTACTTGTAAAAGAGTTGGAAAGCGAACAGCATGGATCCTGATCAGACTGTGCGGACGCGCAGGCTGGTCTGGATCCATGTTGGTCGCAAACCCATTATGTTTGTTTTGTCGTGACGCGGCTCAAATGTTGGGCATATGTGTGTCTGATTATAGATCAGACATCCCGCACACACCACCACATTCGACTCATTAGCCTGTGCAACCAGCTATACGACACACCACATTCACATACATTTGTGCTATTGGTCAGTCCCCAACTAACACTGTTCTGTATACGCCCCTATATAAAGTGGACGTAACTTTGTACTCCACGTGCCAAAATACGGGATCATCCGGAAAATAACGGGATGTACCGACAAAGCGACACCTGCTGTCATAATATGAACACAAATTATTGCAACTCGCATTATGCTTACTGCCAACTGCTTAGTGCGTACTGTCACATGCGACTATAATATCGCTATCGTTGTCATCTTCGTTGTCGATGCGCAGTGATCATGTATTGCATTATATTTGTAATCAGTGAATATATTGAAGCATATGAATGCTAAGACGCATCAAATTCGCCAATTATTGATCAAAATTAATAGTTTATTTTGACATAATGTCAACAATATAAGTGGCAGATTTATAGCAAATTAAAGATACAACTACCATGTTACATATAGTTATAAAGAATGTTATCTTAAACACCAAACATAATACGTTGTCCTTAAAAAAAGATGCAATTAAACATATAGCATATTAAAATATGTGAGTTTGATGGTTTAGTAGGGAACACACAAGGTTGCAATTACATGAAAGTGCATTCAGTAATCATAAGGCATGATTGAATTCAGCAAAACGCAGGATTTCATTGTCATAAAGAAGTATAGAAGCAAGCATAATGTAAGTTCCGATATCATAAAGCAAGATGGAATAAATGCATTAATTCTGTTCCATACTTGTACTACAAAATGCTTCTTATGCATCTTATAGAGAGCCAAACTCTCAAAATCAGTCCTGTCTATTATAATTATTAGTTTGTTTCATGACAGTAATATATTAGTATTCGTGGTATAAATGTTCATACTAAATCACTTACAACTTTATCAACATTTTATTTTCTAAGACTATCCAAATGATGCATTCCAATTGCTTTTATCAATATTTGAAATACATATGGAAAATGTGTCCATTGTAGGCCAATCCGCTGTTAACTAATTAAGAATTTCTTGTCCTTTGCTTGAAATATTGGAAAGACGAAAGCAGGAATAAGTGTACAAAAAATACTGTCAGAAAATATTGACCGAAATATTATAAATATGAGGTCAAATGACTTTACTGTGTTATGCTAATGCTCGTATTTTAAAGTTTAGATGAAGTTATTTTAAGATCTATATACATGTAAGTTTCATGCATATCACAGGGATTTCTGGGTTTCTTGGAATAAAACTACCATTGCTGTTGGACGAGGAAACGTTGTTGGAACCGATGGTTTTATCTCCTTTACAGAGACTCCGTCACTAATGGAAATCAAGGGCGTGAGCTTCGGGACTGCATGGTACACGGATGCTAGCTGGAGATTTCCAAAAGGTATTGACGTCACATTAAACTTAGTAAATGATTGGCTACTACTAAGATTTTCTAAATTTGAAATAAATCCAACGAACAAATGTTAAATGTTTGTCATAAGAATAAATACAAAGTGCATTGTTTACATTCTGTATATCAAACTGCATTCGGTTAACATTAATATATAAACTATTTACTTTCTGTTTACAATAATTTTGAAAGTAATCCTGGGGTCGGCGAGGCGTAATGTCTCTCTGACAACTGATCCCTTTTATTGAGTCCATTGATAAACTGTCTCACCCCTCTGATTAGGAGTGAACAAATTGGTAATTGAGGAAAAGCCATCAATTTTGATACAAAAAATGTATTTTAAAATTTCAGGCCTAAACGAGTGTGACGTTAACCCATGCAGTCATTGTGAAGTGTGTGTCGACGGAATAAATAAATACACATGCGTCGGTTAGTATAACAATTCTATAAATAGTTCTTATAAATGCACGAAAATCTCGTGTTTTGGGAAAAAAAAACGAAATTTACTGGCAACTGTTTTGTTTTTTTCCTCTTGGTCTTTGATCTTGATCTTTCGTGTGATCTTTTGCCATGGTTAACACTAAAGGGAAATGTAAATTATTTCTTTTCTTTTTCAGAGAATTAAAGATGTACAAGATGGAATAATTTTCGTCCTACCTTGTTGTTCCACAACCGCAAATACATGTATATACACAAAAAAACAACATTAATTATATAACTTCTTGTGGAATAAAAGTGAATGTACCATTACATGTTTATGCATGTGTAGTGTATTTTAGGGTTGTTTGAATAATAGTAGACAGGAGCAGTATTGTGACCGTTTTGTCTCAGAAAACCGAAACATTAATTATTCATAAAGATGATCAAGTATTTCTATAAATATACCGCACATTTCAAAGTTTGGAAAAACAATGCTTTTTTTTTCTTGTATGTAGCTAAGCCGTGTTTGTTACGTTCATTAACACCATATTTCTTTGCAAACAAAACAGAGGCAAATCATTAACACCATATTTCTTTGTAAACAAAACAGAGGCTCGCCTCCATAGACACAAATGTCGACTTTATTTAACGTATATTTATAATTTTCAATACAACCAATCTTTGCAAGCCAGGATACATAAGAACTTAAAATTTGGAACAATTTCACTAGCACCATCGCGCTAATATCTGCACATAACCAAAAGTCAGCGTCTAACCCCGGGTTGCCTGAATTATCAAGCAACGTTTTAACAATTGAGTGCAGGGCAGAAGATGAAGATATTCATCACGTGACCAAACTTAGAAAGTATTGTCTATTTATTTTTTTTTTATTCTTTGGAAGCTGACAATGTATTTAAACAAACATCGGATGTCAGTATTCTGTTATTGTAAGTCTTGTGATTTGAACCAGAAGCTATGTTGGGGAACAGACTAACCGACAAACTTATTCCGTCAAGCTCAGTAGAAAATGAGAATCACTTGGCACAACCTTTAAGGTGAATTCTAACTGGTGCTGTGGACTATTAGAAATGTAACACTCATGAATAGACAACTCGAGTCTCATCGATTCTATTGTTTTGTTTTATTGCTCCCGAGTGATCTCCCCTGCTCATGAGTTTTCAGAATGTCGTACGAATTGTGATAGTAAGCTAACACTTTGTAAATATTCCTTTGCGAATAATGAATATATTATTTCTCTCTTTTTGTGAAGACAACCTTGTTTAAACATTAATTTTGATATTTTACTTATTCGTTTGATTCCACCGCATCACGGACAATTCCGGTAATCATCGGCCTATGTTGGTCTTTTCCGGTAATCGTCGGTCATTTTCGGTCTAAGTACTGCAACTGATCGTTTTTTCCAATTTATTAATTTATAATCACTCGGAATATATTTTACAAGAAGTAAAGAAAATTCCCCCCCCCCCACCACCGTTTCTAACAAAACCTTGTTATGAAACCAATATTGAATGGAAGTAAGTTGCAAACAATTGCTGACTTAAAAGGATTTTATGAATGAACTTGAAACAATCGTGTTTTATATCATTTTTATTGAATTGTATAAAAAGTCATTAATTATCGTGCTACTGCGTGTCCAAAAAAAAGAACAGTTAAATTGCAAGATGAAAATTCATTTTCTAATAATACTATAGAAGGCAAAAACATACAAACAGTTATTTAAAACAGAAAATATTATCTTTATTGACAATTATGTTGTTTTGTCATTTTATGGCTTACAATTATGCCTTAATAAAACAGTTCTGTACCTTTAATAAAATAATAACAAGCATACCATTTTTTTAAATACATGGAACATCATGTAAACTTCAAATACATGGAGTACATGTAAACTTCAAATACATGGAATATCATGTAAAGTTTTAATACATGGAGCATTATGTAAAGTTTCAATACGTGTAAAATCATGTAAACTTCAAATACATGGAACATCATGTAACATATAAAATACATGGGATATCATGTAAAGAATAAAATACATGGGCTATCATGTAAAGTATAAAATACATGGAACATCATGTAAAGTATAAAATACATGGAGCATCATGTAAATTATAAAATACATGGAACGTCATGTAAAGTATAAAATACATGGAGCATTATGTAATGTATGAAATACATGGAACATCATGTTAAGTATAAAACACATGGAACTTCATGAAAACTTCATATACATGGAACTTCATGTAAAGTATAAAATACTTGGGACATTATGTATATGCTTTAAATACATGGAACATCATGTACAGTGTAAACTACATGGAAAATCACGTATTTAAAAATATATAGTCCATGGAAAATCATATCATGTATACAATACAAAAAAAAACGTGTTCAATTTTAGATCCACGAGTATGCATGTAAGCGAAAAAATACATGACAAATCATGTATACAATAATATGAGGTCATGTAAACAACAACAAAAAAATCAACGGAAGCCAATGCCTTTTGAAACAATACCTAGATATTGCCCTTAAAATATGCATATTTTTAACACTAAAATCTGACATAAGTAAGACCTGGTGAGGCGATAATAAGCGAAAGTTATAGACAGAACAAAATAAATCTTTGCACAAAAATTTAAAAAAAAAATGTTTGCATATTTTAGGTGCAACATGTCTGATTCTGTAATTTCTATAGTGCATAGTAAGGTATCCTGGAGTTTATCATAAGAAAGTAAAAATGCTGACGAGTTTGAGGACTGGTTTAAACTGGAACTACTCAATTATCTAGTAAATAGTAAATTAGAAAAAAATATACATGTATTAGCAGAAAAAATAAATGTTAGAAATACTATACTGACTTCATCGTATATACAATAAATTAAAATAAAAAGAAAATGAATTTCAAAAAAGCACGAAAATCACGTGCTATTTCGACAGTATTACCGGCGCAATCACTCAGAACAACGACACTTTAAGATGGGCTCATCAAATAACTAGAAAAACTTATAATAATTGTCTTACAGACATACAATGCTCATCTTTGGGTAAAAATACTTTTATTGCACAAATCTATTGAAATTTAATTCTTCTAGAAATCTGCATGATTACTGGTCAAGTTAATTTGGTACTTTTTTTAAAAAAAAAATGTCAGTTTTCTTTTAAAATGACACTGTATTTACCGAAAGCGTGTAGAGTTAAAAACGTAACATATCGTCCCTTTTTTACATTGAAAAATAGATTGTAAAGGAATTATCAGTATTTTCAAAAATCAAATTGGCGCATCATATATCTTTAGATAATTATAGGCATATCAAATCAATTTATAATTATAATAATAAAATGATTGTCATGCAGCCCAGTAGGGTCAATACCCTAAAAGCTTTCCAGTTTAATTGTCATAAAGCCCGGCCATTTTTATAAATTTAAGTTTAATGTCTCCGACCACGTTTCTTAAGGCCTGTTTCAAATCTCTGACTTTTCATTAGTCAATATACAATTAGCGCTGTCTTCTGACCAATTAAATACCCGGGATCCGAGTTTCGAGCTTAAGAACATTCTTTGTAACCTTTGACCGATATGCCTATCAGTTCTACTGTTCCTTAACATGTTTAATCCAACTGGACATGAAGCAAATTCATTTCTGCCGAGATTTTTTATGGTTCAAAACTTATTAATATCAGTACAATGTGGAACCAAGAAATTAAACATTCTCCCAGCAAGGCATGAACATAAATGTTGCTATTTAGAAACTTTGCTTGTTTTGGATGAACACGTTCATGGACAGTAGCTCCTTTAGGCATACTACCGCAGACGCCCTCAAGTAAATCAACTTTAGAATTTACATAACCAACACATGATAATATATTACTTGTAAATCTGGTTTATAAATAATATAATTTTGAGCTTATGTCGACATTATGGCACGACCAAATCTACAAAAGCATTATCACACATTAGAAAATAAAATGTTTTAAAATTGTAAAACGAAATAACTTTGCGAATTTCACAAGATAGCAAAGTCGAATTAGACTGTGACAAAATTGACAAAAAATATATGATAAAACAGAACGATTTATTCACCGACAGAAAGTTATTTCTCTTATCACATTTTAAGAAATCATACTTTCCAGGTACCCAGCCTAAAGCCGAGTTGCTTGCGTAAGTGTCTCCAGTATTTTTCTTTAATGTTTCAGTATAAATTAATTATAAGGTGTCCTGATATTTCTAAGTTGATCTGTAATATCCTATAATATCTTAATAGTCGTCAACAAATGAACTGTCCCGAATGAAAGACACATAAACATTGAAATTCCTCCTCCAATTAGAAAATGGCTCACTGATTGACCAATGACGGTCCACGTCCCAGTGTTTGTTACCAAACAAAACAGCAGCTGAAATATAAAGTATATTGATAAGTATACCAAATGATTTCTGTAGGTCCCGTCAGCTATATAAAATATGTTTTTTCCGAGGATTGCGGGTTCAAATCCCGGTAATACGAGTACTGCGATTTCATACTCTGTGTCATTTAGATAATTTAGTTGTCGTCTGCTATATAGCAAATAATGTAGAGCCTTCTGCTGCAGAAAATGAGTTGTTAAATAATTCTTAAAGTAATGAAGAATAATTTTTTAAAAGAAAATGTGGTATTGTCTGCTTGGGAAATGTAATGTCGTCTGCTTATGAAAAAAGGTTTTCTGAAATAATGTAGTGTCGTCTGCTATAGAAAATAGTTCCTTCATAAAACTTTACGTGTGTGGTCCCTCGGAAGCATTAATTACAGCCAAATTACACAAAATTATAATTATTTATATAATGCAATTGTTATACTTACTATGTTCATAAATCCACACATCATGAATACCACCAAACTGAAATTTCTAATTGAAGTAAAAGTTATCACATTAATGGCTCGAAGGAAGCAAGCGGCGACCATCCCTGGCATCATGAGCTGAAAAAAATAGAGCAAAATGTCAATCATTGTAACCAAATCAATATCTTAATCCTTGGCAGAAATGACCACCACCTTAAGACTATAGGCAAATAGCACGAACAAGATTCATTTGATAGCTCAAAGATCAAAGTCAAAAGTAGGTGTTTGAAAAAAAAATAGGTTGTATAATAAATGCCCGGTTCATAACTTTGCGATTTCAAAAAGATTTTTAGGAGTTTTACACGAAATTTTCACAAGCCTAATATAATTTGTCGCATGCAAAGTATTACCTAGTCATTGATAAAATTTTGATATAACACTTCGTCGTGAGACACTCTTGATGCTTACAATACCGGTATGAGTAGTCTCCATGTTATAGTCCAAACCAAGGTCAAAGGTTATTAAAAGTGCGTGTACTCTCTATATATCAAGTATATATACGTGGTATGTTAATTGAGTATGAATGTCAGACACCTAAAGCAGAACTTATCCAAATGAGTTGATTCAAGATGACAAGTATTTGACATTCAGCAGTAATATTGTTAATATCTACAATTTAACGCCCCACATCATGCATCAAACGTGCACAATTGTTTTTAACTTCCTCATCAAAAGCTTAGAGACTGATTGGTTTTGATAAAAAATCCATAAAAACAAAACAAACAAACAAACACCAAATTGCAAGTGAACAACAACGTAATTTACATCTAATACATTTATGATCCACATGAAATATGCTAGACTAATAAAACATTTTTAAAATATGAAAAAATAGCGCTTTCACCGTAAAGTTACGGGGCGGAAATATGGGGATTTAAATGATGGGTTATATAATTACCTTGAAGATCATAAGAGGTCCCATTCTTGGTGGATTGGACACGGTTATAAAACAGAAAACATCCTGCACGTCAAAACTTGAAGTAAAAACACATTCAAACATATCAACTATTAACATAGTCTGGTTAAATAGTATTAAAGTAAAAACATATTAAAACATATCAACTATTAATACAGTGTCCTTAAATAGTTTGAAAGGAATAATAATAAGACATGAGTTAAAATTTTAGATAAAAAACTTGGAATTTATTTACTTATTTTTTAGTAAACTATCAAAAAAAATTGCAAGGAGTTGTCAAGCCGTAAAATGTGTTAATATTATTACATGACAATATATTTTATATAAATGGCGGTATTTTCATTTTGAAATACAATTAATAGGTCAACATAAATTAAAATGAGTAACTAAATGTCCTTTACCTCCAAAAAATAAATATGTATATGTAAAAAAGATAAAAAACAAATAATATAAAATAATCAACAGCCTAACCCATATTAAAAGATCATTATCTTCTAATATAAACTAAAGTGAATGTATCCTATTATATAACCAAATGCTGATTCTGGTATTAAGATTCTTGCTAAATGTGCTCTGATATTTATTGTGCTCCGATTTATTAAGCAAATATAGCATCATTGAAAATGCATTATCGTTAAATATTGCACCGATAAGAAGTACCAGTCTACAGTAATCGCGGCTGGACGATTACATGCAAAGCATTTCTTTAGCTATGCAATAATATGTTATACCCATAAGTAGAATATATTTATTACCTTTCTTGAGTATTTTAAGACAGAAGATATATGAGAATTACATTTTAAAAGATACTTTTGTTATTAAGAATGATTAGCGTTATCAGGAAGTGTCGTTAGTTTATATACATACATGTTTACTTCATTATTTCATTGTTTTCACACATGCTACTATATAACTGTTGTTAATTTATGCTCATAATCCCATTGTATTTCTATATATATATTTATGCTCATTATCTTATTTTATTTCCACACACATATTTATGCCCATTATTTCATCATATTTCCACATATAAATTTATGCTCATTATTTCATCATTTTTCCCACATATATATTTATGCTCATTATTTCATTATATTTTTACATAGATATTTATACTCATTACCTCATAACATTGCCCAAAAATACCTTTGCTTATTATCTCATTATATTTTCACATAGATATATATGCTCATGATCTCATTATACTTCCACATATACATTTATGCTTATTATCTCATTATATTTCCATGTATATATTTATGTTCATTATCTCATTATATTTCACAATAGTTATTAATTTATGCCCATTATCTCATTATGTTTCCACATATATATTTTTGCTCGTTATTTCATTATATTTCCACATAGATATTTATGCTCATTATCGTAATTAATTTCCACATAATTTTTATGCTCATGATGTCATTATATTTCCACATAGATATTTATACTTATTATCTCATTTTATTTCAACATAGAAATTTATGCTCATTATCTCATTATATTCCACATACATATTTTGGCTTATTATTTCATTTTATCTCACTATACATATTTATGCTCATTATGCTCATCACAATGAACTATTATTATTTATTCTCATTTTTATCTAAGGTTCCCCCAGATCACTGCATACTCTTTCACTCTTTCTTTCACACTTTTCTATTAAGTCACAGTGTTTCTTAACTCCCTAGCCATTTAACATTTCATAAACTGCTGGAACAAAAGTATAGTTTAACACCCTTTTCATTGTTATCCATGCTTGTTTGCCCTTTGTTTATAATAATTGTCTGTAGATGTTTTCCATTGTTTAAGTATGATCTACATGACGTGTATCTATTAACGTCTCCACACACCTATATTTATGCTCATTACTTTTCACCCCACGCATTTTCATGACCCTTACTTCTTTTATGTTCCCCTCCTATTTATGCTCATTGCTATTAAATGCCCACCACAATAACTTACGAGTACTATTTTGTTTGCCACCGATCCCTGTTTTTTGCTTATTATGTTCTCATATCTGCATACCTTTTTATGCTCATTACTTTTTAATGTAACCCTATCCCTATTTATGCTCATTACTTTCTAAAGTTACCTCCCTTAACTATTTATGCTCATTTCTTTTAATTTTACCAAATATTCTCATTAATTCTAATATCCCCATACCTATTTATGCTCATGATATTTCCTGCTCCGTATAAGCCGGCAAACATACATAATAAATAACACATAACTCTTCTTAGATCTCCAGTAGTTATCTCCCTTTTACATCTTGTCTCGTTTTCATTTCCTTTTGTAAAATCTAGATTCTGCCACTGTAAAAAGTCATAAAAAGGCGGATACAACATAAAAAAGCGAACATAAAATATAACAGAATGATTGATATAATACCACTTGAATATACGTTATCACAGACCCTGTGGCAGTAACCATGCAATATATAAAATTAAGACATGCTGTGCCCAAACTATCGTATCTTACTGATAAACATATATATGCTTTTGTATGGCTTAAATTAGCATTGAAAGTTGGCATTAAAGCAAAACTACATCTATATAAACATAAGTGTTTTATGAACTAACCTAAATATGTGTTGATAGTTTCCTTATATGGAAAAAAGGGTAAAGAGTCTGACGGGACTCGAACCCACAATGAGAGGAGCAAAAGCAACCGAATCAGCGACATTGGCCACGGAGGCGCAGATCAACTGTCTTTTATGACAATTTCATATAAAGATACTAACAATATTGGGCACAGCATGTCTTTTGTCTCCAAACCGCTGTTTCTCTACATAGGTGTACCATAATTGTGTTAGCTTTGTGCATGCGTATTAATAAAGACATGTTCTTCCAAGCACGTTTAAATACTTACTACTCTAATATTTCATATATTATTTACAAATATTTTTGTTACTCAGGTTATATGGCCTAAATTGTTTTAAGCCTTTATGATCCGAGCTGTAACTAATAACCGTTCATTTAAAATAAAGCACGATTCAGTTTGTTTTTTTTTTTGGGGGGGGGGGGGGGGGAGAAAATATTTCATAAATAGACAGTAGTCGTTTACAAATGTATATGAAATATTTGATTTTCCAATGAAAATCGATGCTACAAGTACATGTAAAAAAGTGAAATTTTAAGAGTTCGCATTAATACATTTATGTACATATATCTGATTGTTTATAAAGATTTTGAAGCCTGACCTAATTGAATTAGTTATAAGTTAGGCACGGGTTATAAATGGCAATTATTCAACTTATCAAACTTCATTACATAGAATTTGATATGCTTCACAATATTTTTTTTTATATTTTTTGCTTTTGAATAAAAAAGCCAAAAAAAAAACCATACAAATTGTATCGTAAATTTTGCGTCAGTCGTGTTTACAGATGGTGTAAACATCACCATTGTCCAATCAGAATCTACGTTACAAACGAGTAGTAAGTAGTATTTATAAGCTCTATGATACAAAGGTGATTCCCCCAACATTTGTTACCTATTTATGTTTGGGATATGGCCGGTTCCAAACACCATTCCCATGCCGAATAAAATAAAATAAAGTGCTTGTCCAAGATCCCCCGACGTTAATACCCGTTGACACAGACTTTGGTTTTCCACTGCTTTGGTAAAATCAATTCTCTGCCACTGTAAATTTATATTTTCTTTACCCAATAACAATCATCACGGAAGATATATGACACAATACAAACAATCTGACGTCATACTATGAATATTTTTCATCAAATATCGAAAATAAGATTTTTAAGAATTGTACGCTCAAACCTGTTAAAAAAGGTCATCCGAAGGAAGCACCATACATGACCTTTAAAGACAAGTGGTCTTTATTCGGAGTTTATTCTGTTCTATATTTATCATTTAAGGTTTGTCAAAGAATGATCTTAACGTGGTGGTCTTTTTTCGGAGGTGGTCTTTAACACAGATTTGACTGTATTAGTTTGTACATTTTGAGGTCTGAAAATCATATGGTTGCAATTATAAGTTGGTTGCAAGTCCAACGAAATCTGAAAAAGACGTCACATGACACGTCAATATTGATGACGTCATTAATAACAAGATATAATCCTACCTCTGTTACAGCCGGCTGAAACATGAGATAATCGTTAGATTTTGTATGCTTGTGATGTTTCACGTTCACGTGACCGTTTGCTGCACTTTTGCCATTTGTTGTTGTTTTATTTGGAACCCTGTTGGTTGAGTCGTTGGATGTCCTTGGTAAAAAGATTGGTTGCGACTTCGTCAGATTTCTCTCAACTTCGACATAAAGATAGTGGTTCCATACAAGACAAATATAACAAAGAGTCTCCTGCCTGAAATGCAAAACAAGACAAAAACATATATGAGCATATACGTCATGACAAAACCAACATAATGGGTTTGTGACCAGCATGGATCCAGACCAGCCCGCGTATCCGCGCAGACTGATCCGGATCTATGCTGTTCGCTGTCAGTTTTCGTACTTGTAATAGTGTTTGTAAGCGAACAGCATGGATCCTGATCAGACTGTGCGGATGCGCAGACTGGTCTGGATCCATGCTGATTGCAAACCCATTATGTTGGTTTTGTCGTGACGCGGCTCATATAAACTTTACATAACAGCCAATTAAACAACGTGTACCAAACAAGAGCTGTCAGTAGGACAACGTGCTCGATATACATCGAAAATTTAAAAAAGTCATAATTCTGTCAACATCCATGTAAGAGTTATGGGCCTTAGACAGTGAATTACCGTCATGCTCTCAATCATCTTAAGGTTCCTTTAGTAGTTTTGGAGATACCAACACCCATGCAAAATGTAACATTGAAACTCGAAATAAAGCATGTAATGTAAAAAAGTATAGAGAGACTGAAACAAATTGTATTTCATTGAAACTTGAAGTAACACACGAACAGTGAAAAGTATCGTGAGCTTAAAAATGTACGCTTAAATACTTTACCCGATGCTGAGAAGAATAAACGGGGCTACATAACCGAATGCCATGGATGTAAGGCGGCTTTGAATGTCCGTGTTAACGAAAAATGGTTCACACAATGAAATGACTGAAAATACACAAACATTTACGTTCCAGTACAACTAAGCTGAAAGGGGCAAATTTTTCTGTTGATAGCACAATATGACTGGATGGGGTATATGTATAATAATAAAACACATGTCTACAGCATAATTTATTAGTGAAGCTAAGCTATTGAGGTTGACATAATTCACAATACAGACACGAGCTATCTTCATTGACAACAACAAATTGCAAAAACAAAACACTTAAAGCACTATTCATCTGATTTTCTATAATAATTTAGAAGCAATGTTATCTTAATACCTCAAACTTTATACTAGTTTAATTTAAAAAAAACAACTTCTTTTTACTGATTTTGTTTGATTGGATTTTACGTCACACCGACACAGTATAGGTCATATGGCGACGTTCCAGCTTTACTGGTGGAGGAAGACCTCAGGTGCCCTTTAGTGCATTATTTCAGGCACGAACGCGTACATGAGTAGAACCACCGAATTTATTAACATGTTTTAAATCATATATTAGTTAAGGTCCTGGCATTAAATAAAATATAAGAAATTGAAAATATTAATGATATACTAGACCGATGAGTAGTATGAAACATTCTAATTTCTAAATGCCATTCAGAGACACTTACAGAAAATAATCCAGCTTGGGATTTGAACGCTTAGAGGCGTCCGTATGTTGTTTTCTGTCAGGTAGGAGGAATATGTCAAAATGCCGGTTGCCAGGGCAATTTTAAGGATCTGTAAAATATATATAAACGTCTTAAATATATCAACATCGTTATATAAATCAATACTTCGTTAATCAATAATTATTGTAAAATCTAACATATTAATGATATTAACAAATGCTTCGCAAAGATCAATTTTCATGAAACTGTGCAAACAACAAAACAAAAATAAAACCAAAACATAATTGTCACATAGAGAAAATGATTCTTCTTTAAGAAGACGTACAGCATCTTACTGCCTCCCACACATCCACATCCTAAAGCCCCAATCCCCATATTAACCCTCTTCTAAACGGTTAGGCTGAAATCGACAGTTAGCCATTAATTGACCTACTTCAAAAAATACAAAACCAAATTATTACCTGAAAAATGGCATAGCGTTTCCCGAACTGTCTAAATAGGCGCCCGGTTACTGCAGAAAATTCTAAATGGCTGAAAATAAAAAAATAAAATGTTATGCTGTTTGTAGAAATTCTACTATAAAATGTTTCTAGACAATGTAGGACTGTTTCTAAAAAATTTAGTCTCGTTTCTAGAAATTCTACTATAAATTGTTTCTAGACAATGTAGAACTGTTTTTAGAAAGTTTAGTCTCGTTTCTAGAAATCCTACTATAAAATGTTTCTAGACAATGTAGAACTATTTCTAGAAAGTTTAGTCTCGTTTCTAGAAATCCTAATTTTGTTTCTAGAAACTCAGGACTTGTTTCTAGAAATTCTAGTGTTGTTTCTAGAAATTCAAGACTTGTATGTTTCTAGAAATTCAAGACTTTTTTTCTAATTTCTAATGTTGTTTCGAGAAATTAAACACAAAATCATCCTTCTACAATTTCAAAGTAGTCTGTCACTTACAGAGAATTTGATAGTACAGAAAAACCGGCTAGTTTGACTGACTGCCGAGATATGACCAAACATGTATTAAAATGGGCGTAAAACAGACAGACTGACAGACAGACAGACAAACACTTGTTTAGAATTGTTTTAAATGGTCATGCGATTAAAAGTCATAAATTGATTGGCCCCGAAAATGTCCACGAGCAAAAGGCGTACAAACATTGAAGTTGGAGATTGTTAGCTGAATGCATTTTTTATGAATTATTGTGTTATATGGACGGAGTTCTTTGTAATCAATTATAATACATGTAAATCTAATTGTTTACTAAGTACTAGTATATGATTTACTTACTAATGGTAGAGTGCACATGCTATTGTCGATAAAACAGCACTGAAAATCCTGAAATTATAGAGTACCCAACTGATGTGAATAATACACTGAAACTGCAAAATCTATAAAAACAGTCTGTTACATTTTTCTTTAATTTCTTTAAATACGTGTATGTATATAGAAAAGCGAATAAGATCAAATAATCGCATAGGAATATAATATATAATTACACAATTACATTGGATTTAACAGCAGAAAATACAATTAGCAAGAAATAGTCAAGTACTGGTACTTGCGCGCGTGCTCTGCAAAATATGATTTCAAGACTGACTGCACGCACAATTTTCGGAAAAGAAACGAAACAATAAGTTAAAATGCAGGTCTCGTATAAGAAATACTTACACCAAAGTATAAGAAACACTTACACCAAATTATAATGAAGCTCCCGATCACCTAAAGGCTTAGCGACAAGAGCTGCGAGCCCGATGGAAGAAAACAACCACTGATTCCTGAGAGTCTGCAAAGAATATGTAAAGAACATGTATAAAGCGCAGTAGTTACTGTTAGAAAAATATTTTTCTTAAGTTGAATATAAAGGTGAGATAAAACTTATTGTCGTGGTATAAGAAACAAATGTTTACCTGAAACCCCACCCGGTCATCACATGTTACATCGTAGACACTTCGCACAATACCCTTAATAATAATAACACCCTGCAGAATCCAGACTAGCCAGTGTTAAAATGATTTCCTACGTGCTAGGGCTAGAGGAAGCAATCTACCCATTCCGTTTTATAACAGAGGATCGAATCCATGAACTCTCATGATAAGCGGCAGACACTTTGTCACAAGTTAATGATTTAACATATTTTTCATGGCGTTTCTTAAGCATTTTTTGTACTGAATGTATATTTTACAAAGTTTAAAATCAAAGCACTGAAAGTACCGGAAACAAGTGAAAGCTAAATGAGCTATTTTAGTATTATTAATAGCCTCGTAAATAAAATCCGAAAAGTTCCGTAAGCAGTCGTCTGGGATAAAAGCCCTGATGAGAAAAAACTTCACAGGGAATCGCATTTCCTTGCTATAAACATAATATATCTACCTGTTTTTTTTAAAAACCAAATACATCCTATTGCAATAAATGTCATTTGCATTAAATTAAGACTGTAGAAATTATTTCAGTATTAATACGCGCGAGTTACACCTGAATTGGACGTTCAATGATTTTGTGAAAAATCACTCTATTTGGAATGTTCATCATGTTTGAAATATGTAATCTAAATAAACTGTGCCCTGGCTTTGCTAGTTGAAATTTTATATTTATACATTACCTTGTCTATATCTGATTTGTTGCCATAGATTGAAATAATAGAAAATATTGCTATAGCAAGCCCGAGAATAAATCGGTAATGCATCGCAGCAACCTGTGAAAGTAAAATGAAACTTTCGTGAGCAAAACAGTACATACACACTAGAATATCGGTAATATCATTTCCCCAGTGACCTTCAGTGACCTTCACCTTGGCCCGACCTTGTCATATCTAAATTGTTGACAATTTTGTGTTCCTGCATATAACTGAAAATGTCTATAACGATTTCTTCTCAGTTAAGTTATTTATTCTGTAGTAGATAGTACTGTTCTGGTGAAAAATATACTTTTATCTCAGTACATGTATTTAGAAATCTCTGATACTGGTTGGAATATAGCTGGAAGCCTCTAAGTTCACCATGCAAAGAAAAACTATGCTTTTTATTGCCGGATTTTGATTCTATTTTAAATTTATTTTCGGTGAAAGAAACTTGTCAAAAACAAATATTTTTACTTTATATATACTTACTATGGATATAATACCTATAACACACAGGCTTGCTACCGGAAGTAAATGCTTCTGTCGTTTTATGATTGGAAATATATTGCCTATTTCATACCACCTGAAAAAATAATGTTTTTAATTAATTCCAAAAAATGAGCTTTGTAATTTTGCTGCATTTAAAAAGAAAATAAAATAAACAATTATTTTTCTTTGCAATCCATTTTTTAGTTTCCTATTTAATTGTCGACAGGTAGCAGGCAGTGTAAACAATGCCAAATGCTCGTTCATTGAAATATGACAATAAAAGTGCATTGGCATGATACCCCGCTCACTCAAATTGGCAATACTTTATATACTTACATACTTTTACTCAATGCCATGAAAGAGTGAAACATTTCAAAGTCCAGACGTCAATGTCCACATTTACATATCTTATGTGCCTTTCAATGCATTTATTCATGCACGAGTGGACACCAAAGTGAAACAAGCAAAATGTTAAGCTTCATTACATGAAATAATCCAAATGCTCTTGGCGGAAACCAAATTATTTGAAGTCAGCGACCTAAGCTACTTGGCTATAGTACTAGTATTTATTATGTAATAATAATGAACAAGTTGAAACAACCTTTAAGTATAAGATTAGCTTTTAAACGACGGATAAACTTACTTGATTGCTGCTGCTGTCCAAATTGGTATGGGAAGTAGGAAATGTATACATTGTGTCAAAGGTGTTGATTGTGCTGAAATAGTAATACATGTAGTTTATGTTAACATAAAGTAACTATAATTAACATGTCGAAATGCATTTAGTATCTGTGTTGCCCTATATTTGTCTGACATAGTGTAAAATCCACTGTAATAGAGTGATTTTTACACCAAGATATATGCAAAGAAAGTTCAAACAAGTAGCACTTCGCGCTTACGTATTCTGCTGTAGGGCAAAAAAGCAATAACGAAAGAATATAATAATATAACAGTATATTTAACAACTTCATTAACAATCTGATATAATCTTAATGACTGACTATAAATTTAGAATAGTATTTCAGTGAAAAGCAGTTACAAGAAAATGCACACATTTAGAATATGTAGACTTTTTGTTTCATTTGCCTTAATTCATAATCTAACATCTGAACATGTAAAAAGCATAATTTAGTAACACTATATATATTAATAATAATAAAAATATACCAAAAGTAAGTAAAATCAACAGTCAAAATTAACTTGCTTATTACATTTATAGCGCGTGACTTAAGTATACCGCATATGACGTCACCTCAAAATGTGTACAATATTCACGGCCATGTAATACAGCCATTTATTGAAGATCCGGAAAAGAGGAAGGGTTATCTTACCATAGAGGAAAATTAGGTCAAACACTGCTATAGCGACTGCACATTGGATGATGATATGTTTAGTGTTGGTCATGACAGGGGTGGTAACTCTTATATCTTCCCAGTTCTCATGTTGTTGTATCAACACCAAGGCACAAAAACAAAACCAGCCGATCATACTGCTAAATGTTGCCAACCTAAAAATAAATGTAATCAAATCTTAACATGATTATTTTTTGTAATGAAAGTGTCCTGTTTTGAATAGGGTACGGTTCGTTTAAAATTCATGGCATTTCAATGCCAAAATACAAAAGAAAAACCTGCCGACAGTACATATACCCGTCAGGTTGCACGGATGAGTATGCTGGAATGGCTCTATACTGGTGGGCAAGGCTGATCACTTTCAGTTCTAAGAGGTTAAGTGCTAAATCTTTGATGTGCAGTTGAAGAAAAACTACCGTAACCTAATTGTTATAATTCTTGAAATACTATTGCTTTTGTCTGTTACCGGTACTTTATTATCTTTTATTCCATATTATTAGTTAATCTTTTGATTGTGTGTTTTACTGCTGCTTGTTCATTCATTCACTTGAGAGACCGGTGACACTTTCGTTCATCCATATCAAAGGCATCGTCATCTATTGCCTGTGAATAGTCAAACACGACTATTGTGTGTTTCCGGCAAATGAAATCAAGTAAGGAAAGGAAAACCAGATATATTTACTGATCTAAGAAACAACATCAAAATTAAAATAAATTCTGCATCATAAACAAAATTTTTAATACACAAACATAGCCGCTTGAAAACAAAATTGGTACGTACCACAATGGATTTTTACTATATAGTTTATAGTGACGTATGCCCTTGACAGCTAGGTCGATCTTTTGTTTGGTGACAGCGATGGCTGAGGCAAAGTTTCCAGACTCTTTCAATGATTGTATGTCCGTGTGCAATGATTTCTGGGGAAAAAAGATGCAATATTATTAGTGTAAACATTTTTATATCAGAATACGGGCTAGATAAGAATTGTATTGGCCATACCGTGTCAAGAATTAATTTTAAAAATATTAATTTTATTGGTCATTGTCATAAGGACATTTTTCTGTACTCAAGCATTGTCTGTTCAAATATGTAGGATGAATTAGAATCGGCCATGATTTTTCATTTACAAAACTCAACAAACAACAACATTAAATACTCAAATTCAACAAGTCACGTGTAAGATAACATGAACAATGCGATACGTTGTTGGAAATCAAGGGCGCCAAGTGATAATATTTGAACACATACTTACTATCATGGAAGGCGCCAATGGTCTGTAAATTAAAAAAAAGAAAATTATATAAAAGTTATGGTTAATATCATGTTGTCATAAATTATTTTCATTTAATTGGGAGTTTGTTTCATTATTTACTGTTTTATTAACAAAAGCAACCGGTAAAACATAACAAAGATGCTGCACTTTCTTATAACAATATTTACTTGTATGGTATATTTATACAAATTAACACCATGTACACAAATATTAATAATTGCTTAATGAACGAAATAATTCCCCGTTACCTTCCCTTTTTTCGTACATTTCGTACAAATTACCTTAAAGGTTAAACTCATTCAGGGTTTAAGACCATATTACAAAACGTTAAAATAATTCTTTGGTGTAGAAGTATTCATCTGTCCAAGATTGAAGGTTAAGTTTACAGAAAGAAGATGCAAAAACTCTCTTTGAAATTCCTAAGATAAACAGACCAGATAACTATATATACACAGACAAAGCAAAATACACGTCAGCTGCGCAAATACTTATTAGTATTTCTTTAGGCCTTTGAGTGACTGTACATTGTGATTCAATCTTTCTCAGCGAAAAATCTGCCAATAATTATATACATGTAACTACATGGGTCATCTGTGGCCAAGTGAATAAGGTTGTTGACTTCAAATCACTTACCCCTAACCGAAGGGCAAACTGAGGTCTTCCTCCACCAGTAAAGCTGGAAAGTCGCCAATGAACTTTAATGTGGCAGTGTGACCCCAAAACGAATTTATAGAACCCAAACTTACCTATATGATCGAAAAGTAAATGCAAAAGGTCCTTTGTGAGTATATTTCTCTATGGCTTGATAGTTCTCGAGAAGCTGTTTAAGATTGGCATACAAAATTCCAAACTCATCTTCTGCAGGAACATCAAAGAATCCACCGGGGAAAGGATACTGGAAAGTTAAAGCCATCTTACTCAAATATAAAAAGAAATAAAAAAGAAAATATGTGCTTGGGAATTGTCTATAATTTGCGTGGTTTTAGCAACACTGCAAAAAGAAAAGAAAAAAAATACTAAGATGAAATACAAAGCCGTATTTCAGTATACATTTTTGTTGAATTATTTTCAACTTCTTAGTATCCCTGCAAAGGACAACCCATGATGCGGGAATATACGTGACTATTTTGGTTGTCTGCTGACATTCTCTCAACAACAACAACAACAACAACAACAACAACAAAAATATTAATAATAGGAAAAAGAGAAGAAAAGTCAATTTTCTTCGAGGCAAAAAACAACAAATTTAAATAGCCTCGCTTCATTAACGGACGAATTTTATTATAAACTAAATATTAGTACTCACGACTGCATTTCTTGGAAATGTTATGCCAATTGTTGCTGCCATAAGAGGTGCTAAACTTGGCTGTAAAAAAGAAAGAGAAAAAACTATAAAGACTAGATAGGGGAGATTCGATTTGTAATTGGGAACATTGTTGTTCAGAATAATTTGTCAAAAGAGTCAAACTACCGACTGAAAATTAAGTCTCTCATAAAATTATTGGATATTTTTTTTTAAATATGTAACTTCTAACTTCAACATAAGATTTTTTAAAATGATTATTCATTTATAAATATGAAACATTTATAAAACAAATGTAAGTATATCAAGTAATCGACTGACCTGTTCCAGGTTGGCTCTTTTCCATCTTGTCAATGACCATTCTAAAAATAGATATGTTACAATGTATTCGGATTTTTTTTTCGTTTTTTTTGTGCATTCAGTAACAGTAATATAAATAAGTCTTGATTTTTTTTGTAAATTAAATCGTTAAAAAAAGGTTTTGACCGGTGATAAATGCCATATAACCTCTTCTAATATCAAAGGTTATATATAAACGTACAACTCTTTATAATGAGCTATACAAAATGACAAAAATCTAGTTAGTAATAAATGATAAATATTATATGCTAATGTATTTTTCAGTCGTTTCTTAATAATATCATGTCTTTGTATATAAATGCATAATAGAAAATATAGACATTGTGCATTCTAGTTTTATTTAATTCAGACCATATTCTTAATTTTAGCCTTTTATATGTCAAAGCAAGCATGCTGAATATATGGGAAAAACAAACCTTGGGAGAGCGTATCATCATATCTATTCAGATTATCCTCTGGTTGGGCTTTCCGGATACCTGCTCCCCAAACTAGTAACGGGCAGTGGATTTCGTCCGGCATACCATCGCCATGTGCTCCTGCAGAATACAGTCATACTTGTAAAATCGGCATTGGTCGTCCAAAATTAATCGTTTTTCGCTTTAAACATTTGCTGTACACATTTTCCTTTTATGCTACATTTTATAACAATGTAAGATTGTTTGAGTATTGTTTGTTTTTACCATTACTGACAAGTGTTTTTTCAGGAGGAACGTACATATGGAGCATAACGTCCCACCAAAAGACTACTTCCTGTGTGACTTAAGCCAGAAATTAAACCAGCGCGGATTGCGGAAGATAAAAAAGAATCTCACAACGGGTTGCTTGTTGGTATTTCCAGCTAGGTCAATATTCATATTTTTATGTGAGCAAAATTTATCGCTTAAAATCAAAACATACAAGCAATTTTATTTTATTTTACCAACCCCAGTTTGTCATTCCGTGATCTGATGTAAACACGTAAGCAGTCTTGCCGTCATGGCCGAAAAAGTCCTCAAATTTGCCCACTATGTCTTTCACACCTTCATCCAGAAAACTAACGTGCGTCAGATATTCTCTGCAAAACAACGAAACAAAATATCGTAATTAACAGTTTAATTATGTTATCTCTGACCAAACATATTCCTATACATTATCAACAACAACAACAACAACAACAAAATATACTGTTTTTACTTTTTAGTAAAACGTTGCATCCTATACACTTTATACATTAACTATATCGACCAATGATCAATATATTAAACACTATAAAATTGAATCCTAGATATGTTTGATTAAGATTATTAATACATCAAGTAAAAAAGGAGCATTGCTGTAAAACAGTTAAGGAACAGACATACAGAGTTAATCATTATAAGATTATTGGTTATTTCATTTGGAAAACTGAGACGGATTTAATTCATGACCCCTCAATTTGTGTACGTTTTTCTTTTATTTTATTTATTTCGATAGCTCTACTATTACAATATGTGCTATAGACTATAGTTCTGATTGTATTGTATACATGACGTCTTTACTTATACTGTGACTTCCTAATGTATTCATTTAGAGGAAATTTACAGAACAATGAATGAAAAATTCAAAAATTCAAAATGAAAATTTTGCTTGTGTCTCCCTTTAACACGACCGCCAACAACAATAACATCATTAAAATTATTGAAATATACAAACTTTGAATTGGGCCTGACTATGTAGCCGGCGTGATCGATTCCACCAAGGTGGAGAAAAAACAACACTTTATCTTTGTTCATTTTCTCCTTCAAACTAGCATCCGTTTTTGCTCCGTTAAGGAAGTTCTGAAAATATAGAAACAATCGTGAGCGATGGTGATGCTTCGCAGTAGAAATCTTTACTCATGAGTTTCTTTTCCGCCGAAGCCAACATAAGATCTTCACCCTAGTATACTTCTGTCGTAAAAATATTATTTGGACATTACAAACATTTATGAATATATATTCGCACAAATGTTGCTATACTTAATTCAAATACAAAGCATAAACCATTTTCAACTTTAAATATAATTGTTTACCGTAATAAACAAAAAAAACATCCGCGCAGTCTGATCAGGATCCACGCTGTTCGCTTTCAGTTTTTCTACTTGTAATAGGGTTTGTAGGCGAACAGCATGGATCCTGTTCAGACTGCGCGGATGCGCAGGCTGGTCTGGATCCATGCTGGTCGCAAACGCTCTATGTTGGTTTTGTCATGACGCGGCTCATATTATACTCAGTGCTGATGGAACACAAGTCAATTACGGCTTATAAACCGGTTGATGGACATTGTAAGAACTAAAAAGACAAATGTCCTATTAAAAATCACGTACCGTTACTTCATCAAATACCCAGCTGTCCATATCTTTAGGGTTAATACCGGATAAATATTTTCTTTGACCGGGATATTGTTCCGAAAATATTCTGTCAGGATGATCTGAAATAAAAATCGAAATACATATTAACTATACCTAACCTATTCCTTTTCCTATTGCAATTCTCCCCGAATATTTCATCATCATCATCATCATCATCATCATCATCATCATCATCATCATCATCATCATCATCATCATAAATCAATCAAAATCATCACTATCACCAGTCATCAGCAGACGTCATCACCATTATTATCACAAAAACAAATCATCATGATCAATCAATCAATCAATCAATCATCATAATGCATCAATCATCACACTTTAAATCAGCATCATAATCTTCATCAAAAACAAGTCAAGAATATGTCATTGATTCCCTCACAAGGATTCAGATTCAGAATATTAATTTATGTTATTGTCTGTAAATAGATTTGAAGTGATAACAATAATTTAGCCAGTTAAGATTAAAGCTGCACGCATCATGACGAGCCCATAAATTAAAAAAAATCAAATTAAAACATATACATTTAAAAAAGGCATAGATTCAGTTAAGAAATATTCATGAATCTGAAAACACTTTGCAGGTTTAAACAAAATATGACTGGAAAAAAGTTCTATACCGTTACTAACGGTATTTTACTAACGGAATTTTATGTTACTGAGTGTGATACATTTTCAATAAAATCTGCAATTGTGTCTTGAAATAGCTTAAAAATTCATTAATTTACGCCTAACAATATTTCCAAACATGTTCTCAAATTTTATACGATTTAGGTATTAATACAACATTTTTTTTTATATTCTTATTGTATATATACCTACCGGTTGATACTTTTTCCAAAAATTTCGGTGTGTCCCAGGTCCAGGTGTAAGTTGTTTCTTGAAATATAGTATCAAAGTTTATAGCACCTCCGCCAATATCTACAATGAAGATAATAAAAAATTAACTATTGTAAAAGTGAAAAATAATTTTTAGTACAGTAGACTGGGAAATATTCGCGATATTTTTATTTTTGCTAATATTCGCGAATTGATTACATCGTGAACTTAATAATTTCGCGTAAATTTATATACATTCTGTTACGGAGATACAAAATTTTGAAAATAATACTAGTTACATGTATTCCTGATTAAATAATTTCTTGAAACAACAGTGACAACTTCATAATAAAAGAGTGTGATTTATTAATGGCATCATTATTACAAAATACACATTTATTTATGGCATTCAATGCATTTGACGCAATCTTTATCCTAAAAAAATCATACGGGCAAAACAACAATTAAATTGTGAACATTATAGTTATGTAAAATTTCTTTTCGGTTTGAGTTTTTGCTTCTCTATTTGTAATTCTTTTTGTGACGTCAATGCCAAGAATGGATAATTTAGAATATAGATAAAACGTCTTAGTACTCTTTTTCTACCAAGCTTAATTAGAAAGAGGTGTAACAAGTTCACGAACTGTTGAAATGAACAAAATTAGCACATTGGACCTCCTCAGAAATAACAGCATGAAAGGATGTAAGCTTCATTTGGCCGTCAGTTATTGGTAAAATATTTGTATTATGTATCTAGATAAAATCAATCATAATAAAAACATACCTAATTCAAATGCGACTAAATCAAATTTCGTGTTAATAATAAAATCATCAGATTTATTATCCCAAAACTAAATCAAATACAATATTTTCATTTCATTCACGTTTAATGCATGTATTGATCGTTTAAGCAAACAAAAATTGCATTTTAGAATACATCACGACTTTGATATAAAAAATTCTACTACCTTGAATGATATGGTAATATTTAAGTTAAGAAATAAAGAAAATAAGCTCGTTTGAAAAGCTAATTGTATAAGTGGTAATAATGTTCGCATCTGAACGTAAAGACTGTGAGTTTGAAGGTTTGAACTCTACATGGCTCTCATCCTTGTTTGCCTATAGTTCGAGTTTGATTCAGATACTAAATAATTTTCTTGATTTTCAAGTTTCTGTTTAAAAATTCTTGCAATATTTAACAGTGACCTTGTTAACTTTAACAATTTTCAACAGTTTTCGTCTAAAATCTTGCCATATTTGACAGTGTCCCATCTTATCTCTAGCGTGATCGACAGATCCCCTCTTTATTCTATCAATATTCAACAGTGGTCGGTTAACATTTACAATATTCAACAGTTTCCGTACTTATTCTAGAAATATTTGACGGTGTCCCGTCTTCAAGTACTAATCGACCCTAAGCAATATTTAACAGTGATCGGGTAAATTTTTCTTGCATATCAGACTGGCGTTTCCGTTAGTTTTACCCGTGCTTGTAACGTTACATCTGGCATCGGGGGTGTCAGATGAAAGTTTTCGCGTGAATATTCGACATTTTCCTTCTTTACAACTTTACTAGCAATATTCAACAAAACAATTTCTGTCTTAACTGTTTGAACATTGAATATTTGACAGCGTCCTTCCCAACAATTACTATAATAATGATTTTCGACAGTTTCCATCTGACTTTAGCAATATTCGACAGTTTTAGTCACAATTTACGACAGACGAACGTATTAACTCTAGCAATATCCAAAATCTGCGCCTTAAGTCTATCATTATTCGACAGTTCCTTCTTTACTTTATTTCATTGTTATCGAAAATGTTAATTTGCTATTTACTCTGCTTTAAAAGGCGACTTTTATTCATATTTGTTCTTTCGAATTTTCATTGCTGATTAAATGGTAAAAATTGGCAATATCTTGGAACGTGTAATTACTGTAAAAAACTGCAATTTTTTACCAATTATATTAACTATACATTTATATATACTATTTTGATATGAGATATTTCTTGTTTACGCTTCTGCGCCAGTCCTTTACCAAAGTAGACAATATGTAAATATAATTTATAAAATCACGGTATGTATTTGTTTTAAGGTGTATTCTGTTTACCTTTGGCAACCGAAGTAGGGTCTTCATAAAATCCTGCCGTCATGGCAACGTGGCCCGGTCTTGTGGCAGTGGGAATCCCTGCCGTAGACACACCCCATGTCCCTTCCTTTTCGGCTATATTTCTGTAACAGTAACAGAAGTATTTGTTTAAGAAACAAATATGATAAGATGAGTTCAATACTAAAGTACGTGCACTTGCATGTTAGAGCTTCCGGATGTTGTTTTTCCCGCCCTTTTTATGACTATGAATCGATTTATGTTTTACACTTCCTGACTCTAAATAAATATTATAATTTTGATTATTTTTAAAATTAGACTTAATAAGACTTATATTTCTTTAAAATAAAACTTATCTTAAATGTAACAAAAAACAAGAATTGAAAGCAGAAGTCCAACTAAAGCATTTTCCCCAGTAATAGTATATTTTGATTTACAGAAAAGGCGATGTGCGACCCTTGCATTGCCTTTAATATAAGATAAATTATATAATTTTTTTTCCTGTGAATGAAAAAGTGGAACCATTGTGACCAAACAAACAGTCTTGTATTTCGCCCAGTGATAATCTACATTGCGATAGTACATTACAAAAAAACATAAATGGTTACCAAATTATTACTAGAACTATACCTCAAATAAGGGGCTGGTGTCGTCCCATCAGGTTGTAACATAAGGGTTTTGTCGGCCCTGAGTCCATCAGCAACTATGAATATTAGACGTTTCGCCGGCGGCGGTCGTGAGGAAGCATGCTGTTGCTGACCGCCTATGAGGTGTGTCGTGAAATAAATATCAAATATACTGATAAAAACAATGCCTTGGACCAAAAATCCAGCGGTTATAATCATCCATGTCGACATAGCCTGAAGTCAAGTCCAATGTTTGAACCCTTGCCCTGAAGTAAAATAAAATAAGAAGTTGTTTTAGTTTTTCAGAAAAGGTAACAAATTTCAGTCAATGATTAAGACCGTACAACCTATCATGCCCGTCTCTAGATATGTGTTAACCATGGTTATATAATTATATACCAATGGTTATACAAACGCTCATATTATTAGTAACACAAATTTGAGTTGTTGATACCCGGCCGTGGGCGTATATAACCCAAACTTAGTTATAGTTATATAACAAAGGCCAAACAATTATGGTGGTGGTGGTGGTAGTTTAGTCTCCGGATCACGGCATGGAGTCGCACTGAATTTACCAGAGCACAGCTCAGCCACCGCATCGTTCCTGTGTAAGTTGCCAAGTCGTTCATTTACCAGTACTAGTTGCCTTCACTCTCGCAAGGAACTAATAACTTCTGTATATGCAGAGCAGAGGTACAGTGTGAATGACTGTAGAAAATATTTCATCATTAATCACAACGAAAGTGGCCTAGACCGTCCGGGAATAGAATCGAATGGAATTATCATTATGTTCAACGGGAGGTCACAATCACTGACAAGACCAATTGTCTAAATAGTGCTTTTGACGTAATACTGCACAATTACAGATAAGTTTTTCTCTCTTTAGAAAGAACAAACCTGTATTTTAAAATGTTTGAATGGTTTTAGCGCATGATATACATGCTTATCACCGTAAGGTAACAATATGTAAACAAAGTAATATTTCTACTTTCATACAAAATAATTTATCAATATAACTTTACTAATTGCCAAAGAAAATAACAAAAACACATAACATGAACAAAAGATGATTCAGTTAACTGGCCAATTAGTAATTTTTTGAAACCTATAACGGGACATCAAACAATAAGAAAATAAAATAAATAAAATTCTGAGGCATAATTGGCCTTTAACTTGATCTGAAAAACCAAGCATTTAACTGCATGCTCAGAAGTAATACTTGAATAGACAAGCGGATCGTGTTCGTAAAATTAATATCTGATTATTACAAAATCAATATTTTGTCAAAAGCTTAAATAGTCCCATATATTGATATTTATATATTCAATGTCAATATGTTTTCTACCGTGAATATGCATGTGAACCTGCTGATCTGTATGGTATTTTTTCTACTTCCTTGCCCAACACCAGCTGTTATTCAATTAAGATAATAGGATTATTCAATGACTGCTGTTGTGTTCTGACCCTTCCGTATATTAGTAAGCCTTTTTCCGGTTAAATACACACCGACTTTTGCTTTTAATAAATTGTATCTCTTGTGATATTATTATACTATGATCGAAGTCGTATAAAATAAACTCATACTAATATTAATGAAAGAATTATTTGGGCAATTTAATTGCAACACAGCACTACATATACACACAATATATTTTAACGAATAACGTTTCGGGAAAAAATATTGTATTTAAAAAAAATACGATTTTATAAACCAGTTAATGGCCATAAGTGGTATATCTAAACTAATATATCTTATCATGCTTAAAGGAAGGACAATTATTGTTAATGTTGCTATAGCATGTTGCCCTTTTAATTTCAAACAATATTCTTAAATAGTATTCAAAAAGCAGTGAAATATTATAAAAATAAAACATCGAAACCAATCGGCTTAAGAAATGCCAACATTATAAATAAAAGTAGGGGGGGAAGCACTTGTTTTAATGTACCAGAAATGGACAAGTATCACTGCTGCCTAAAAACATATTACATATTCATCAAAAATCTTTAAATTTAATCATTTCCGCTATAGTATGTGTAAATTTATTACTCTCTTTCCATTCGCTGCTTAATATCGTAAGTACCATAAACTATCGGTTATGTAAACAGTATATCAATATATATCATGACTAAGTAGGCGAACCGTACCAACACTTGATGCATGCAAATCGTTCAATGATGGGCGAACAATTTGAATATTTAAAATGTATTTAATGTGAATATTTTAACTTACTTACTAGTGCGAGTTCACGCACGTGAGGTGAATTCGTAAATGCACTCAAATTGAAAATCGCAGCGGTATCTTCTGAAAATGGGATGTATGTCTGGGATATGTATGTATAGATAATCACTCAGCAATTTTTGAAATTATTTCTTTAAACAGTGTGAAGCAGTTATGTCTGAAAGTATGTCCTGAACTGAGTGGGATTAGTGTCCGAAAGTATGTATTTGACCAGAGCGGTATAGTGTCCGAAAGTTTGCCTTTGACTAGTGCCAATACATGTCGGAAAGTATATGCCGTAAATAATGTGCAGATAAACCGAAAGTATGCATTGAATAGTCCGGATCAGTGTCCGAAAGTTTGCCCTGAACTGTGAAAATAAGACACCAAAAGCTTGATCTGACCAATGCAGGCCAGTGTTTAAAGTATGTCATTTGACAGTGTGGACCGGCTGCCGAAAGTATGCAATAACTGTGCAGCTAAATGTTAAACAGAGCGAATTAGTGTCCAAAAATATGCGTTCAACAATGCTGATCAATAGCATAGTGTCCGATAGCATGCCCTAAACAATGCGGGTCAAAATCTGAAATAATACTAGTACCCTGAACAGTGCGGATCAGAGTTCGGAATTAAGTATTAAGTGCGGAGCAGACAATATCCAAAAGTTTGCTCATGAACAATGCCTATTAGTGTCCGAAAGTACACATTTTAACAGTAAAGGTCAGTGTCTAAAACTATGCCGTGGAATTAGTAAGGTGTAGATAAATGATAATCAGAAAGGATACGCCAAAAGTATGCTCTAGATATGACGGTCAATATTAAAAAGTATGCACCGAATTCGAAGAATGTAGAACTCTGTCCGAATGTAATCCCCGGAACAGTGAGGAAATGCAGTGTTCGAAAGTACATGTATGTCCATAAACTAAGAACACTTGTTTATAGGTAAACGGGATACTAGCAATTAATATACTTTCATATACTATCATATTTCAATTCTACTAAAGGCGTTCTTATAGAAATTGTTTTTGTAAAATAGCTTAATTACTGTTGAAATTAAGAACACTTACACGAGATTAAAATCTGTCTTTGATATTCTAATTAATTAAATCCAATAAGTTATCACAGTCACTGACGTTGATTCTTTCATACTTGAATGATTGCCTTTTTTTCCTTACTAGTAAACCATACAGTATGGATTTGGTCACATGACGTACTGTATTGATATTTCAATACCTTAAGTATTCAGCTCTTAATAAAAGTGTCTATTTCTAAATGTATCATAAAATCAGTATAAAAAGTCAATAATGGATAGTAAATCATTTGCGTTGTTTAATATATGGCGGGTAACACACTCAAAATATCATCAAGTGTTTAAACTAAGCCAGACACGTTTAAACAATTGCCGAAAAGTTCTCAAAATTTTCAAAATCCAACGACATATAGGCTCAATCGTGGGTAAAGGATTGTCTTAAACAAAAACACAGTATTGTTGAATTTTTAATTCGTTGAAATAAAAAAGATAACTTCCACGAACAGTTTATATCACAATTCATTTCATTTCTATATATCAGCATATTTTCACATTTCAATATTGTGTATAAAATTATAGCATTTTTTAGATCGAGAATCGATCGGCTTATTGGTTTTTACGTAATATTTGTTTTAAAAATAAGAAAGAAAATTAAAAGTAGATTTTATTGTTAAAGTGTAAAGACATCTATTGCAATATAAATATATCCAGAAGGCACGGCATCGCTCGTCTTTTGTGTACGCAATTAAACAAACAGGCTTTCTTTCAAGTTATATACCATAGCATAATATTGATTTATCTGTCCTGGATAATACCCGTATTGTTGATACCCGGTATGTAGATTATCATTGATCGGGTATAGCTGTTTTTGAATAGGAAAGTCGGGTCAATAGAATTTGACGCGACTTGTTAAAAGCAACACTGCATTCATATTTCTTGTACTAGAATTTATTTATGAAGTTCATATATTTATACAAAAAAGGTAATGGATAACATTGACGAAGAAGAAGATTTCATTCAATATATATCCTGGCATGCACCTTTTCTCTACACCTCTGAGAAGGCAGGCCTCTCAATTATTTTCTTAATTAATAAAAACAAAAGCTTAAAAGTATTCACGCAATTATGAATGAATATACATTGAATGTTTTATCCTTAAAAATGAAATGAAATTAATTTTCCCCCACAATTATGATAACAATGGTAATATCAGGTTAATTGAGTTGTCAATGTCAAAACTTTTTTATATACACTGTACATCAGATAAAGTAATGTTGAAGGACCTTCTCTTAATAATTTACCTGATTAGAAAAAAGCACACAATAAAGCAAGAATGGGTGTGTAGGTTTTAAAAGAGTTCATATCGTACGGTTAACAACTTGATCAAAATGAAGACTATATCATACCCACGCACGGTTAACAACTTGATCAGTTTATACCCACTTAAGGTTCACAACTTGATCAGTATTAAGATTTTATCATACCAAGGCACGGTTAACAACTTGATCAGTATTAAGATTTTATCATACCAAGGCACGGTTAACAACTTGATCAGTTCATACCCACATAAGGTTCACAACTTGATCAGTATTAAGATTTTATCATACCAAGGCACGGTTAACAACTTGATCAGAATTAGATTTTACCATACTCGAGCACTGTTTACTACTTTGATAAGTATAAAAATGCCAATACCAATGTATGTATGGAAGTTAAAGCTTAATGAGGGTCCATCCGCCCTTTCGGGCACAAAATGCAGCTTGCGCTGTCGAGTACGGACCCCGGACATGTCACCAGTCATGTCCTTAAAGAGTTAATTTTGAAGCACAAAATGGTGATAATTTACCTCCATGCAATTTCCACGGAGTATTAGCCAAAGATATGAATTTTGAGCCAAAAGTAGGTCACTGTACGGCGGTCAATGAGAACCTAAATGTACAGTAACCTGTGACAATAGGAAAGGTAGGTGTTTAGCCATGAAAAGGGCTGTTGGTGCCAGCTATAGGCCTGCCTTACAAGCCGTCTATCTGTACTAGGGGCTCACGCACCCTAGTACACCATCCTCGTCGTCTCAGCCTACTTTGTAGGGCCACTCTCCTCGGCATTAGTCAGGACATCGGCAGCTGGTCCGCAGAAGTGACGAAGTAGGAGTTCCTTAGTTACCGCCCACGGTTGAAGGCAAAATTTAAGTTGTCTACCAGCCAAGTTGTAAATCTTCTGCCGATGCCCTGTGCCTTCTCAGCGACGTGCACGCTCCGAGGGGAAGTGAGAAGTGCCAATACCAACATGAATACTCCTTTTTATATAATACCCAAACACGGTTTAGTACTTAATCAATATGAAGTTTTTACTACACCTAGTACCCACACAGTTAACAAATTGATCATGTGAAGAATTAAATGTACACGCAACGTGATAAAAAAATTACTATTCTAATTGATATCGATTTTTCACAAAAAAGCCCCTTAAGCATATTTATGATTAGAGTATCAATTACATCATACGTTTTGAATGAAATTTTAAAAATATTTTCATAAAATTTGCGATTTAGATTTAATCTATAATGTAATGTCTTCAGTGCTATTTTGTAGATACATGTAAAAGTTACACATAAAATGTGTACATATGAATTATACTTATGTAATAGATCTCCATATGAAGTACTTATTCACAACGCAGTGTTGTATGAGTGTATCGTGTATCGTGTATCAAAATGATATTCAATTGATAAAGTAGTATTATATATCTATTAAGCGAAAATTGTATACCCGGTATGTGATTTACTAGACCGCTTTTAACAAAGGAGCCGGTAGGTATGTAAAATAATAGCATATATATGTAAATGTGTTACTTTCTGAACGTTACTTTCTGAACAGCAAAGTCGAGAGTTTAGTTGTATTCAAAATTAATTTTTTTAAAAAAACGTGTTTGAGGCTATAAAATGCTACGAAAACAATTTTTATTACCCAAGGATACATTCTACCCCAGACTTTCGACTGAAATTTAAATTGTTATCAATTGTAATCTGAAAACTTTTATTATTCATATTAAGAAATAAGATATCTTTGACCAAATCAAAGTCAAAAATTATGTCGCGTTCAATATACATGTTAATCCTTTTTGAAAACAAATTGGTATGTTTGTAAAGAAATTTAAAGAATTGATTTATACATCTCTCGGTATAATTGCATTCTTTTATTAAAGTGTAAAGTATTTCGATTGATCTCAAGTTACGCCGGTGCGTGTCATGGTCAATGGTCATATGGTCATTTGGTGGCGCACCAGGTTTCTACGTGTGTGGAAGATCCTTGTTGAGGGCACTCTAATATAGCATTTCATGTATATACTTGTTTAAGTCGAACCAACCAACTTCAGTTGACCTTTGCAACTCCTCAGTAAAATATTACAAGAATGATTATAGATACCATGGTAAGACAAACGACTTATAATTTGACTTGACCGTAAATTATATCAGGTAAAATTATATGGACCGGGTAACAAGAACGATCGTTTACTTATAAGCACATTATCTTAGGTAAGGTGAGATACCTGGATATTACGAACGACTATATTAAAACGAATCTTAGTTTCCTCTCGCAGTTGGATATTACGAATGGCCTTACATTACTGATCCCATTTGCCCCTATACACTATTTCAGGTATGGAAAGATGTCTGGATTTGGAAAAAAATACCTAACTTAGGTTGACTTTACTAGCTCTCCCTTTGCATCATCGAATTCCGGATAAGGCGAACGGCACACTTTGAAATAATAATAGCTTCATTATATCTAGGAGTGAATGCGAATAATGAATGTGAATCAATGTCATTGACCTTATTTACCAATAGATCACGGAGATCCATAAATAGAACAGTTCTATGTAAAAGGCTATTTTATAATGATTTTCCTAGATTTGTTATTTTTTTCAACGATTTTTTTCCGTTTTTCTTGTTCTGCAACATATGATACACTCCTACTTTGTAGGCAGGTTACAAATATAATGTAAATTGGTGTTATTTTATCATCTATTCGAAGATGTTTTCTATGCATGGAAGTCTCATACAGGAAAATAATTTCAATGTTAACTTAGTTACCAATATATATCTATAGATATTGTATTTATTGATATGAGCGGTCCAAAACTGAAAATTTGTTGTTGTTGTTGTTGTTGTTTTTGTTTTTTTTAAAGAACATTAATGAATAAAGGACTAACGAGCAGAATTACCTCTTCAAAATAATTGTATAATATGACTTTAAATGTACGTGACTTGTCGGTATGGAATACATAGTATTAGCATTATCTCTCACTAAAATTGTCTATATAATTTGATAATTTCAAGTACAGATTTTTCCGAGTTTAGTTCGTGACCCGGGAAAAAGCTTTGTAAGCCCAATCCATATATAACTTTACGTTTCGTAAAAATAAGTTTTCTTTTTTTATTTAATGTTTTTCTCCTTTTAATTTTAAACCACTTGAAAGTTTTACCCAAATGAGAATTTAAAAAAAAAATATGCTTTTAAAATTTTAAAAGTGAAAAAAAAATTTTTTTCCCTTTCCTTTAACGGGCCAAAACAAAAACACAGCTATTTAAAAAAAAAATTCCTTTTTTTCAATTTTTTTAATTGACCCAAAAAAAGTTTGGGGGCGGGAATTTACCTTTAAAAGATCCAAATTTTTACTCTTAAAAAAAGGCACCCAAACCCCGTCATAACGTTAAATAAAAAGATTGGGTCTTATTTGTATTTGGGCCCATTTTTTTTTTTTTTTTTTCAGTAATATGACACGGGCTGCTTGTGTGACTTGTTAAAAATATTTTTGGCCGCTTTAAAATTTAAAAGGTTTTTTCAAGGGGCGGGTTTGGGGAATTCAAAACAAGCCCTAGTAGATATTGAATGAAAAATGTACATAATTTTAAGTCTAAAAATGTATTGATAATGATAAAAATGTTTTATACATGTACGAGTTCATACAGGACTTTTTAAAAATTTTTTACTGGGTTTTTAAATTTTTAATTTTTAAAATTTTATTTAAAAAATTTTCCCTTTTTTGTTTAAAAAAAGGGGAATTTTTCAACATTTGAAAATAATTAAATAAGCAGCGTTTATTTTTTTTTGTTTGGAAATTAAAAATTAATTTTTACAAAAATTTTATTATTAATAAATTTC